AGGTATTGTCCCCATAAGTGACTAATGAAAATTAATGACTAACATAGCAAAGGTTTAAAATATTGTCACTTTCTTAACTCAAAATTCACAGAACAGAAACAACCTACCTTGTGTTTTCATCGTAAAATTTGACTTTTTTCATAACAGAGACATTGTACCAATCTGCAAACACCATAACTGATAAACCATTCTCTACGTCTCGTCGCAATTTGGTTATCTCCTCAGGGAAATACTCCTCCTCTGCATCAGCTATCAACAAAGTACCTAGTAATGAGAAAAAAATAAAAACAATCCACTGAACTTTTAAGAATAGCCCAACAGAGATAAACAAATATGAAAGTGATCTCATGAATAATGCATCGCATTTAATAAAGACATTACAAATGCAGAATCAATTTAATAACTATCTGTGTTGATGTCATATATTGGTCTGGCAAATATATTATTTTAGATTAGTTTTGAATATAGGTAATTATTCAAAGGACAGCAAACTGAATCTTGGAAATGGGGTTACGCAACAATATGAAAAGCAAACCTACCATATTGCTTAGCATCAAAACAGGTAAAAGGTTTGCCAAGGACCTCAACGAAGAAACCGGAATTACATAAGTGTAAGTACATATCTTTGAAATTAGTGTGAATATGATCTCCATTCCTACAAGAAAAAGTAACATATAGTGTTATTAAATTTGTAGGTAGCACAGGAGTTGCATTTCCTACAGGGATAAGAAACATCCAGTATTATTAAATTAGCAGTTAACTTACGAATTGCCTTTTGGGCTGAGATTAAAATCAAATGCTGTATATTTTTCTATGTCATTTGATGAGGCCACAACAGACTTCCTTTAAAGCAAATGCTGGGCTTCATAACGACAGAAGAGTGGCTTGTAATCTATTCCCTAATTCATCAGCGGCTATTAGAGCAGGTAGGTATATACGAAAAGACAAATAAACAATTATCAATCCTGTAGGAGCAGGAAGAAACATAAAATTAATGTATTTTTAAAAATGCAGACATACCAATCAAGTGGATCATTTTTCATCCGTAGATTATCCCGAGGAAAATATCCTGGAGGATAGCGTAGATTGTGATACTGATCCCAAAGGATTCGACGGCTACGTGGAGGTGTCGGTATGATCTTCACTTTAATGGGTAGTTTCAGATGAGACTGCCTGGGAGTGTCTTCCCCATTCTAATGATGGGTAATAAAATGAAAGTATTCAAGTAGAGGGAAAACATCTTGAGAACATCTTGAATACAGAATAATTATGATCATGATTGCAGATTCATTATACATTCAGGCTGCAATCTATTCTATATTGGGTTATGATAATACGTCCACATCTAATCTAGTAGGTTTCTACAATATACCACATTTTCCCAATACTATATTATATTATATACTATTATTATATTATATTATTTTTATATATTATACTATTATGATATATATTATATATATTAAATTATTATGTATTATATCATATTATATGGACATAAGGTTTTAACAAAATACCACATTTTCCTAACACTATATTATATTATTTTATTATTATATATATATTATACTATATTATTATTATATATTATATTATTATATTATATGGACATAAGCGTTCCATCTGTTGGAAAATTAATGAGGCTTGAAGGGACTATGTATTTTTACAGGGGTTGAGTCTATCATTCTAACTACAATTTCCATTTCACAAGCAAAATTAATAGCAAGAAATCCACAGAAAACAGGGAAACAAAAATATTGGAGACATTTTGTGATGACAATACCTGTGGTGGGGACTCTACTGTGAGGGTTATCCTGCCTTGGGCAATGCCGCCCCACCCAGCAGCGTCCTTTGATACTGTCACAGACACAGCAAGATAACCGGACCATGGCCATAGTAGCGGTGAATATGAAATAGCAACCTGCAAGTACAAGAAATATATACAACAAATTAATTTATAATAAATCTTGCACAGTAAACATATTTTTTCTTGTATTATTAATTCATCGTTGATGTGCTATTATTTTTATGCAACGTGCATATTTTAAATTACCAATTTATCATTTAATGTTTATTAGCTAAGACATTTTTATCTATTGAGCTTACCTCAATAAAGTTCCCATTTTGTGGAGTGTATGGATGCCATACAGGCTTATCAATGATTCGACCTGAAACTCCCATGCCGTTCAAAATAGTTACCTAACAAAATAAACACCAAGATAAAGTTCAGAGTAATTTAATAGTTAATAATACAACAGGTAAAATTGAAATTAGATTTCATCGGATACACAAAAGAGACAAAAAACACTATCAAGAAAGACATAAAAAAAGACAAAAAAAAATTTATCAGTAACAAGATAAAAAAAAAAACTGAAGTCAGTGGTTCAGTAGCAAGACTCTATGTTTGCATTGGCACCCGTGTCTGAAGATGAGGTTGATGATGACAATGATTATCGTGATGGTGATGAAAATAGTAATATTATATAATAATGATGATAAATGTGTGTACACCAATGCAGTTGAGGAATATAGCAATGATGTGTATGATTATGATAAAATTGAATTTGATAGTCTTTGCTGATAGATACTCACATTAACAACAGCTGGCATACCTCCATGGTAGATAGGCTGCGAGCAGTATGGCCACATATATGGACATTCAGTGAAATCTATGTAGCTGGGACTCAAACTAAGAAAAAATAATTATAAGATCTTTTCAAGGTGTATATGTATCAATTTTGAAATTGCTGAATTTTATTGAAAGATATAGTAAAGTACAGTAGATGTATTAGTAAACAACTAATAAAATAATCCATAGTCAGGTAGAACATTGTTGTCTAACAAATTGACGGACACTGGTTTATTCAGTTGAATGCAACAGGTGTTTTTATTGCATTTATACAAGCTGTTTGATTTTGTGTTGTAAGAGAGCTTTTTCTGAAAGATTCCACGTAGTGGATATATTAGAAAACAAATAATAAAATAATCCAAACTCGGGTGGCACATTGTTGTGTAATAAATCTATGGACACCGATAATATTAATTGAAATTATGGCCAAATCTCTTTCCAGGTACGTATCTTTATTCAAAATATCATGGCAGCACAAAGCTAAATTGAGATAAAATGTACAAATATCAAATCAAAATATGAATAAAATAGACTAAACTTACAAGATAATATATAGATTTACAGCACATTTTCACAAAACCACACACAAAAAGAAGAGTAGAACAATCTCAATCTTTTCCATTTAAGTCAATTGTATTTACCTTGCTTGTGGTTTATAATTGCTCAGTATTTGATGAGCTCGTACAAGATCCAGCTTGCCCATGCCTTGTTCAAAGATATTTGCGGCAGGGAGACGACGTGCAGAAGCCATCAGGGCCTGTTTCATACTGGCTGGGTTCAAAACATTTCCCTTCTCAATAACAGCACTAAAAACAAGGAATTATAAATTTTACTGAAGGATGAAGTGTACTTCACATATATACTGTCTGTTCGTCAATATTTGCATTGCAAAAATTAATTAGTAGGTAGTCAAGGTGCCTCTACCAACAATATAAAAGAAAATAACTAATATCATTGTTTACCTCGCAAGCAATGTTACAGCACCCGCAACAACTGGTGATGCCACGGATGTCCCTGATAACGTACGACAACCACCTTTTAGGCCCGAACCACGGACTGCAGAACCGTAGGTTACAATGTCAGGTTTCACACGGCCATATCCACCAGGTAGTTCCTACAAGAAGATTAATAATAGGAGAATAATAACAGTTTAGTAACTAAAATAAAGGCATAGGAGAAGTGGTCATGTTTCCTAATATACAAGTACTCAATGGCATGACGTATGCATTATTTACCCATGTTGTCATGCCTCTTGAGGAGAATTTAGCTATGCTATCTTCAAAGTTGATGCCACCAACACCAATCACATCCATCTGGTCAGCTGGGTTATTGAGGGTCCTGTGGAATTTAAGAATCAAGTAATCATCATATCAACTTAAATATTATGATATTAGAATTGAATTTGTTGTAAAGAATAATCAGTTAAATTGTTTCCAGATTCAAGAAAATTAACACAAAAAACATAATATTTAAAGTCTGCTAAAAAATTAAAGCACAAAAAACATATAGATTTCATTTTAATTATTTATTCCAGTAATTATACAAAATGCAGTACAAATAATAATAATTACAATAACTATGCAAAAATACAAAAAGATAACATAAACAGAGCCAAAGCCACATGCACATGTTTCTGTATGGCTTATTTTTGTCAGTTAATTGGTTGTCTTCTCTTTGTTTCTTTTATGTCACGGCACAGCATGTACACACTACAAGATGAATATATTATCATTGTATTGTTCTATAGATGAAGCACATGTATTTCTAATATTTTATGAGGGTCATTGTTCTTTTGAAACACGGTTTATTGGTAATAAAACATGGATGATAATATGAATTGCAAATTAATATTCAGACTTACCCATACAATGGTCCGTCATTGCCAATGGCAGATACCATTATCACATTGTTGGCTGTAAGCTCCCATACCTTAAGAAAATAATTAGATTGATAAAAAAAAAATCACATAGATAATAGCTCACCTTGCTTCATTAAAATGATATGAGAAATTAATAAACAGAAAACGATCGTATCAAACGAAAACAATCATCATTTTGTTCATTTTCAAGGGAAGGCGCCACTGGGAAGAGTATATTATTTTGTACTCAACTGAAAATACTAAAGAGGTGACTTTAATGAAAATTGTTTATATGATATACAGTACCTTGTCTACAAATGGATGATCCATGAAGTCAGGGCCTCCAATGCTTAGGTTTAAAACATTAATTTTCTTGAGAATAGCATAATTGAAAGCATCTAGAAACCAGGATGTATAGGAAACCTAGACAAAAGAAAGAGAAATCAGGATGCATATGTCATAGTTAGCATGGATGGTTCCTCCAATTTTAATTGCTTTAGAAATAAAATATACACATTTTTATCAACAATGTCATAATGTAATTTTCTTAGAAGTTTAATTTTTCTTTTTAAGGTCAACTTCACACATGAAGGCTTTGGCCTAAGCCACTGCTGCAGATTTAATAGATTCAATTAATCAAATATATTTCATGAACTGCACACATATAATTTATATTATTATGACCATCATTATTATAACTTTCATAATATTATTAGTTATTCAGGCAAATGTACATAGCATTGTACACAGGTTAGTGGTGCCAAATAGTATTAAGTTCCTACCTGATTATTTGTGAAGACTCTAAAAATATACAGATCTGCATCAGGAGCAAAACCCATGCACTCCTTAGTACTGCTAATTACACCAGCGACGAAGGTACCGTGGCCTAGACCATCATTCAATGTCTTTTCATTGGTCCAGTTTGTCCGCTCTTTTACTTTCTTAAAATGCGGATGATTTTCTGCCAGTCCAGTATCAAACACAGCTACCTTTACACCTTTACCTGGCGAACAGATCAAAATGAAATGAGCTTAATTAACAGAAACAATAACAAAGCAAGAACAATGGTAAAAAATATATATAAAGATAATCCTAGTTTTCGGTCTATTTTTCTTAAGACTACAGAAGCTCTGGTATTGGAATGCTATTGTTAATAGACAAACCAACATATACATTTTTTTAACAGTATAATATGATCAATGATATTTAAATGTTTGTAGTCAACATGCGTTAATGACTCATTAAATGTTGCTATAAACTTACCTGAATAGCCAAGATTCCATAATACATCAGCTTGTAAAGCTCCGGTGATCTGTCTTGGGAGCGCCCTCAACAGTCGGCGACTTGAATGCCTACCAGTAGCATGCCAAAATCCACTGCTCTATACGACCAAATCAAACAATAAAATAAATAACCCATGCTACTGTTTGGTTGAATTTAACCAAATCAAGCTAAGAAAACTTTGAATGGTTTCATAAAAAAAATACTGCTTAAATTAGGCAATTCAATTATTAAATTCAATAAGCCATTTCTGTGCACGCCCATATCAAGTTCAATCAACAAAAACAAACATACACACAACATAGGTTAATGTTGATTGACGTTGATATAGGCATGTGCAGTTCAAACTACAAATTGGCTTATTGTTCAATGAATGCAAGCAGTATATTTTTATATAAAATTAACTCACTAAAGCTAGACTCGTTCTTTTCAGAGGCCGAGATGAACGCCAGTTTTGAGACCAGCATTCTTTCTGACAAGGCTTTCCCTTTATTGGTTCTACATCTTCTGTCAAATCTTCTGAAATAAATAACAACAAAAGTGATAAATACAAAAATAGCAAACAATAATAATATAAAAATTAATGTTTTGGCATCACAATTGGAAAATAAGAAATTACAGCCTGGCATCGAGGCTATGAAAATGCCTTCCATTAAAAAGAAAAAATGTTATAAATAGTAGTTCAAATACTATTACTGTAAACAAACTGTAATTATCCACGTAAACTGCGTTTACGACCAATCTAACTCCGCTCTCTGCTAGACGGCAGGACAACGTCTGCTAATTGTCGGTGGCAGGCTGATAGGATCATCAATAAAATTGATCCGTTGCCTGCTGCAATCTTTACAGAATCACGTTGGCCGAAGAACATCGAGCGCAGTGAGTTTCTGGCTTTAAAAAAAGTGCAAGACTGTAATTATACTAAACCTGTTTCATGTACTGTCTTCAATGTTCTTGTAACTTTACGTTGTGGAGCAACATGTTTCACAGCAGGATGATCCAGTAATAAATCTAGCCACGATTTGTTCTCAAAATTAGTCAACTGAAAAGTGTTAAAAAATTCAAAATTTCAGAGAACAATTTATTATCTAATTAAATTTTATAGCTAACATTTAAATTGAATAATAATTGTTATCAATCATGTAAGCAGGAATTGTTAAGGGGTTACCTATGACAGTTAGGGGACCAGGTGAACCTACGCCACTAGGTGGGGACAAGGAAAGAGCTCAAGTGGTGCGGGGAGGCACACTAGATCTAAAGCATTAGCATAGTAAATGTTGAATTATGATTTTCTTTTTTAATGAAAGAGGTGGGGTTCAATTTAATAAGGGGTGAGGGGAGAGTTGAGAAAAAAATCCTGGTCTTTGTGGGATTGGAACCCAGGACTCTGGGATTAAAAATAGGTAGAAATTTTAACTATGAACCACATCTTTACTTATATCTAAAGTAAGACTGTATCCAATCAATTTTATAATCAATCAATCAATAATAAAATTTATGGGATGCATATTCAACTGACAGTATTATGGGATGTTACTTCAAATTTGTCAATTACCTTCAACACTTCAAAGTCACTTGGATAGTGACTTGCTGGGTTGTCCCTTTTCACTATACTCCACTTTAACACCTTACACTTATTAATTGCTGCTTCTATGTAATTATATCGACTTTGGGATGAGTAGTAGTTATCAAATATCACAATATATTCTTTGGATAAAAGAAATTAAATAAAAAAGTTAATTGTAAAATAGAAATTGTTAAAACAATTTACACTGTGTTTTTATTATTTACAGTTTATATTTATAACTAAAATGTTCCTCTCTTAAAGGATAGGGTAGGAGTAGGCCAGCACTAAGCATGTAAAGAAAATGCTGGGTCAATGAATAGGCTACTACTGCCTAAATAGGACATCATTTGTTGCATGACATTTAATTGTTTAACTCAAAATTTAAAAGATAATAATATTTTTACTTAAACAAAAAAAAAAATGTTAACAGTTTTTGTGTTTAAATAATATATTTAAGTGTCAACAAAACATGACAATAAAAAAATATCTTCTTATTACTTTTAAATCTATATAATAAATCAAGGCATTTGGAACTTCGAATGTAGTAATGGCCTGAATTCATTAACAATAGTTAACACCTTTATATCACAGTACACTGTACAGTAGGCCTACTTCAATACTGTAAATATCTTAAATTGTAATCCCTGATACATAAACAGACATAGGGGTGAAGATTAGAAAATATTATTCAAAATATATGAAATCTTTCAAACCTACCGTGTTCTACATGCTCTGATGAAAATTCTAGTTTAATTTCCGGTACAACTTCATCTGACAAGGTATAGGTGGCATTATCAAGACAAGGTATCAAATGATGGAGGAGGTTGATTGACGCATTAGGGCTGGTGCTATTGTCCAAATTCACCGACACTGTACGAGTCCACAAAGTTAAAAGAACCACAACATAGTACAAACAAAATGAAGCCATGGTTATTTCCAGCCAAAAATATCAATGTAATTTTTTTAAGCAACCTCAACAACTTCTGTTACCTATCTAGATGTAACGTAATTTTCCTTCGCTTCATATTTTAAAAATAATTATGCACTCATAAAGAGTGATTAGATAATCTATTTTTTGAAATGTTTGTACAAATCAATTAGCATAGAAGAATTAAACTTTATTTGTTCATCCACTTTTGGTCCAAATTCATCACTATTTATGCAGGAAATCCATTGCAAGACCTGAAAAATAAAAATTGTAACAATTATTATATTTAACAATTGAATAAAAATTTATCATACAGTAGCAAACTTTCTGTATGTTTTAAACATAAAAACCTAAGACAACCAAAGTTAGAATTTAGGCATTGGCTATTGTTACATCACTGGTTTTAAACAAATTCATAATTCTGACACTTTTGTATGTACAGATTGGATAGGGCAATAACATTCAATTGGAAATTTGTTGAAGACTGGTGCCAGACTGCATACAGAGAATACATCCTCCTCGCAAAAATTGTTCCAGGCTACGGCTAAACATTGTGATTCACCAATATTAGATGGGGGCAATACACACGAATTTCCAATCATTATAAGATTATAACAATTCAACCAGTATTTCAACCCAGCCGGGCTCTAGTCTAGGCCCTTACCTATGACCTAAAAAACTTCCAAGGACATTCTGTGTGGCCCTTACCTTACACAATGAAGCTGGCTGACAGCTGATGTTTTGAATTCCTTCTTTCAAAGTGTTTTTGTTCTAGAGCCTGAGGGAGAATCGCCTGAGTTACTTCGTCGGAATGAGAATATTATTGATATTACGGAATTAAATTTTTCTATTGATGATGTGTATGTAGCACTAAAAAGGTTAAAGGTAGACAAGGCTGCCGGTGTAGATGGAGTACACCCATATGTGTTATACGAATGTGCAGAGGAGTTAACTCTACCATTGTTTATAATTTTTACAAAATCAATCGGCGAAGGTCAAGTTCCTGAGGATTGGAAGCGTTCTCGTGTGTGCCCAATCTACAAGAAGGGAAGGAAAAATCAAGCTCAAAACTATCGGCCAATAAGTATTACATCAGTACCCTGCAGAATCTTAGAAGGCCTAATCCGAGGTAATATAGTAGATCACCTAAATCAGTACAATCTTATCAGCTCTTACCAACATGGTTTTGTTAAGGGCCGATCATGTCTCACTAATTTGTTGTCCTCCCTAGAAGAAATAACGGCTGCTTTAGACAGAGGATACAATGTCGACATTGCATATTTGGATTATGCTAAAGCATTCGATAGTGTGCCACACAAGAGGTTATTGCAAAAGTTAAAGGCTTATGGTATAGGTGGAATGGTGGTAAATTGGATTAGTCAGTACTTAAAGGACAGACAACAGCATGTTGCAGTAAGAGAAGCGAAGTCACGGTGGCTAAAGGTCCACAGCGGTGTACCGCAAGGTTCAGTTATTGGTCCAATATTATTTTTGATTTACATCAACGATCTGTTGGATGATGTATCCTCATTTGGGCTTATGTTCGCTGATGATACGAAATTGATAGAGTCCTTTAAGCCAAATGATCCAACGACAAATAATCTGCAAGAAGATCTTAACAAGATACAGGAGTGGTCTGAAAGATGGCTACTTAAATTTAATATTGACAAGTGCAAAATTCTCAACATGGGAAGTTTTAATCCTGGCTTTGAGTACATATTGGGAGGACACAATATACGGAAGGCTAAAGACGAGAAAGATCTAGGAGTATGGATGACTGACGATTGTAAAGTATCGGTGCAATGTTCTAAGGTAGCTGTCAAAGCCATGAATCAACTTAGATTGATCAAAAGAACCTTTGAGTTTATCGATTGCGAAGCCTTCCATATATTGTTTAGATCATACATTAGACCTCATCTTGAATACTGCGTGCAAGCTTGGTGCCCTTATTTGAAAAAAGACATTCAAAAATTAGAGAAAGTACAGAGACGAGCTACCAAGTTAGTGAATAGCATTAAATCAGATCCATATGAAACAAGACTAATGAAACTGAATCTGTATCCGTTAGCAGTTAGAAGATTAAGAGGTGACCTTATTGAAGCATTCAGAATTATTACAAATAAAGAGAATATTGACAGCTCCACTTTTTTTTCATCTAACCCTGCTAGCATTACTCGAGGCCACAAATACAAGGTGTATAAGCCGTCTATGAACAAAGGTCTAGAAATCAGGAAGAACTTCTTCAGCTACAGGATCATTAAGCATTGGAACAATCTTCCGTCTAACATTGTTGAAGCTACATCAGTAACTATATTTAAAAAGCGACTGGACCAACACTGGTTGAACAAGGATGCGGAGACCATATTGGGCAGTATGGCATAAATGACTGTGGGTCTCAAGAGGCTGAATAGCCTATTCAATTACACCCACACCCAAATAAGTTGTAAGTTGTAAGTTGTAGTGTCTTTGTTGCACGCTTTAGGCCTAGGCTAGGCCTAGCTAGCCTAAATAATAGGCCTGCTTGTGAAGCTATATAGAAACATAAAATGACGGTGATAAATGATTTATTTATTTAAATATGCATTATACACTTACCGGTAACACCAACAGAAGCAAAGAAATATGATTACCCTAAGTGGTTACATCGTTTTATTGTATGTTTTCCCCGTCGGTAGCTCTAACTTCTAATCCTAGGCTAGCATTAATGAATAACAAAATAATTACCAAGTCCCATGATGCATTTTGAGGTCATGCAAGAACGGATGTCATCATCACACACAATCATGTAAATATATAAATCTGAATGGCTTTCATTATAAAACAAAAACAGATGTCTGGGTAATATTTTCGATGTTTTAAATTTCATATTTTAGGATGTAATTTATCCACATGTTATGGACATTCTCAAAAAGCTACGCAAACTGTAAGTTGTCATTGTTATAAGGACTAATTGCTAGTTTATCTTGCGGGTACTTACAGGAAATTCGGGGAAAAATTCAGTCAACACCTAACGTATACACAGCACAGCACAGCAGTGCCAGGGATGGTAGCTCGGACTTCCTAGGCCTAGCCAGGTTCGAGTTTCTGCACTGATGATACAGTAGGCCTAGCGTATTTTTCCAGCTAGGGCTTTAAACATAATTACATTTATTTGTCAATATGAAGAGTAGAGTATTTTCTAAAGATTTTATTGCAAAATTAGTATGTGGATTTTGTATTCAAAATATATTAATATATGTTCAAAACATACAGTAAGTAGGCCTAGGCCTAGGGCCTAGCTAGACATAAAAAGTAATAAATTGAAGCCTAGCTTTTCATACATGGTTGGTTGGTTCTTTGGTAATGGTATTTTCACCTCATAATTCTGTGTTATGCCTCTATTGTGTTACTGTAATAAGCTCTTTGTTGTTGTTGTTAGTATAAGAGTGTAGTTACTAGTAGTAGTGCAATATCGACACTACAGTAGTATGGATCGGATTTGATTAAACGTTATGTTTTGAAAATGAACACCATTCATGAATTAAAACCAGAGCTTTTTTTCAATAATTTAGGCTGAAGTTGTAAATTGTACGGTGTTACTTGTCAAATTAGCAGTGTTGATTGATAGTTATTTGCTTTACGTTTTTGTTATTTTAATGTATTTTTTCATGTTTGATTTTGTAGATAATCTTAAAGAAACTGTCTTCAAGTGGCATCCCAAGATATGGCGGAGAATGGTAAAAATATAGGAGACGACTTGTCAGAAAGCTCTCAGAAAAATGGAACTAGAAAGAAACATGTCCAATTACAATTCATGGAAAATAACAACTCTGAAGATTGGCACGGAACAAGATTAAGTCTTTTAAGCCACATTCATGTGGATTATAGAAATATTGAAAGAACGTTGAGTGAGAGGCCATCATTTAGCATTGCAGCTCAAACCGGAGCTAATGATGAGATTGATTTGGATAGAGATGAGCCTAGCAGAGAGAATTATGGTGATGTGGACCAACTTAATGGAGATGTGTCCAATAATGGGCCTCTTCAAAACAGACAGTTGAATGGAACTTGTTTCTTTCTCGCTGACACAAACAGGAGAGACAGACTAATGACACCAATAATGAATGGAACTCATGTTTCTCAGGAAAATAATACAACTTGTCAGCATGCCAAATGTGATGAGCAAAGAAATTGTGATTGTAAAAGACATGAAGAAAATGTTACCACTGTTGTTGTAGATGATTTGTGTGAAAGGAATATTCTTGACTGTGCTTCATTGCCAGATACCTCATCTTGCCAAAATGATGCAAATCAGTTTGATCTGCAACATACATCACATGAATCTGGTGATGGTTTTAGACTACATCCACATCTGTTGCCTGAACAGAATTTGAATTCACCAGAACCATGTATTATTAATCATATGGAAGATGAAAGAGAGATCATCCAAAATGGACATGATCATGCAGAAGGTGCTACAAATAGTGCCTCTTGTTCAACAGAAAATAGGACTTCAGATATGTTCCAGAACAATTTAGATCCTTTAGATGCTGTGTCAGAAGAAAATCATGTATGTTGTGGGCTTAGACGAGAAGTTAGCGAATCAGTTCTTAATGTAATTTCAGGCGATATGCACGAAGATTCTGATGAAATACAACATCATGAAAACACTGAGTGTGACCTTGAAATTGAGCTTAATAATTTGTTGCTAGAAGATTTTTCAGAAAATGGGTGTAGCATTAATGCTGAATGTGAGAATGGTTTTGATACACATACTTCAGAAAAGTCTGAGGATGTTGATAGTGATCTTGATGCTGGAAATCAGGACAACACGTCATCATCATCATCATCTGATATTGTTGATGATATGATTATGAATTTGGAAATGGGGCCTCTTTTACAGGTTTCATCATCTGGGGCAGTGCCAACCTGCCTTGCAAGAGCTAATTCCTCAGAAGACAGTGATGAAGGGTTAGAAGCAGATGTGTGCGACGATGTCAGTGAACGTGAGGAGGAAGCAAATATTGATGATGTTGAAAAGAAACCATTGGATGATGGGGATGATGATGGTTGTCTTGATGTTTGGGATATGCCACAAGCAATAGCATTAGAATCTGAAGAACAGAAAGAGGAAGGACAATGTGAAAATATTTCAGAATCTTTTCAAGATAACTTACCAGAAAGTTACAGATCGAATGATAGGGAACATTCATGTAGGAATGGAAATGATCATGATGCAGACTTGAATGAACTTTTCAAACACCATTCTGATACACAAGGTGCCGCATTTTTTGGAGATTTTCCAAGATCTGGACATCATAATACGTCTGGACCTTTCCAGCAATCATTTGGTAATAATGCAAATAGTTTTGATGAGCTGTCAATAGCTCAAGGCTCATTGCATGGAAGCTCCATAAATTCATTTCCGGGTGTGTCAGCTCAATCTTCGCATTCTTTCAGACAGACCATATCTGAAGACACACAGCTGTATGTATATGAACCTTGCAAAATTTATAAAACTGATGATGAGGAGAGCCTTGACAACAGCTCAAATGTTTCTGATTCAGAATATGGTTGTAACCATCTATTTGAGAACTCACATAAAAAACACAGTGATAATCCAATAACCAGTGTTAAAACTCCTGTCAATCATTCAAGAGATTATGCAATTTCAGGTAATGAAAATGATTCACAGTGTAACAGGACATCAGTAATTGCAACTTTTAGAGACGAAAAGACACTGTCTGAAAGTGTGAGAAACTGTCGGCTTTTTGAAGAATCTTTGATATCAGTTAACAATGAAAGTAGATCATTGCAACCAACCCAGAGACAGTATTTTAGCCTTGCTACTGGCGGAAGTGTGCAAAATCCATCAAATTTTCCACACAATGCCCAAGCCGATGAAGAACAAGAAGATGAAAAGCACAGTGAAAAAAGACTTCTTTTGCAGGAGGTAAAGGATCAGATGGCATTGCAAATGAGAAGGCTTGATGATCGTCGGCGGGAGGAATTACATTTCGAGGAAGTATTGCAGGCTGAGTTTGGAGTAGAAGAACAGGATGACATTGATTTGGATGATGAAGATGATGAGTTACGGACATGTAACTTCATTGGCGTTGGACAAAAACAAGAAGAAACAATAGGCAGTGAGGAAGAATCTACAGATATAGAGGAATCTTTCCCCTTTCTGCCTGTTGATGACATAGCTTTGCAAGGGGTTGAAGGAGCATGTGGTTGTTCTAACGATGAATCTTTTGATCATGTTGTAAATGATAATAGAACTTGTAAGAATAGGAATTGCAGGGTTTGGCATAATTTAATTACAAGTGACAATGACATTATTGAGGATGATGAATTTTTGGAGGCAAGATATAAGGAGCGACAGAAGGAACACAATAGGAGAGAGGATATTCAGCAACCCTTCATTGTATGGCGTCGTTCGTTACTTAGGGGAGATAATGAATCCATTGAATTTGATCAAATGAATGAAATGGAAGAATATGTTATTGATAGACACAAAGAATTTGTAGTTAGAAAAAAACATCAGACAAATCCACCAGATAATGAAAGAAGATGTGCAACAGATACTGAAGAAAGAGAATTTAACCACAATCAAAATAACAATGAGGAAGACATCGATTCTCCGGAAAGTCTTGAGGAACTTCAGGAGAACATTCTGCGTGATAGACTTTTAGCATTGAAACAAGATGATGGCGATGCTCCAGTTTGGCATGGTCTTCATCCAATCAATGTTATTGGGGCTTCTGGTGAAAGCTCAGCCAAACATCAGGCAGAAACAACTGATGTAGGGCTTGATGAAAGTTCAGCTCATGGTTTTTCGATGGCAGGTGTACTACCATTTCCACTTAGCAGTGAATCACTTGAAGACCAAAGTAATATCGTCAGTAATGGTGCATGTAAAAGAAAAGAGAGCATTAAAATTAACCAAAATATAGTACAGGTGAGCAATTTGTAAAGTATAAATGTGAATCGAATGAAGATTTTAGCATCAAATGCTGTAGAAATCTTTCTTAACTCTTGTGTTTTGAAAAGTTTGCTTATCATGTGTTCATAAATGAAATGACATTTGCAAGTTTTTAAACTCACTGCATCAATTCAATCGCAATGTCATAAAATCAAGAACATTTCATGAAATTCCAAACGTTTTTGACAAGACTTATTAATTTTTCAAATATGCATGTGGTTGTTTTGCATACTAACGTATTTTGTATTGATGGCTGGTGCTTAGGTCAACAAACAGAAAACAAAACCCATTGAAGATTTGCCACCAAATTCATCATTTGTCTGGACTCCAAGAAAGGCTCTTAGAAAGCAAGAATGTCACAGTGGACCATACCCATCCCTTCAGAATGCTGTAAAAAATGCCTTAGTAAGTTTCGATGATCAATAATTATAGTACTTCACCAGTAGGCCTATCTGGTGATGGTGATAATGTTTGCATTCATCATGCTAATATTGAGTACTGTATTGCTTATAAATGTATCGATTTTATTAAACTGTTAGGCTATGTTCTCACATTGCAGCTAACGGTAGAGCAGGATCCAGATCCTGCTAACCGTTAGCTGCCGTGCGCTAAGCGTTAGCACTAACGGTTAGCTCCCGGTCCGGATACTAGGGCTCTCGTGAGAACCTAGCCAAAATCAAGTTCTTATCTGTTTTATTGTCTTCAGGTTGCTTTGGGATATAACCCAATTTTAAATCCTGAACGAGATTCAACACAACACATGAAAGATGGCTGTTCTACTGTTTCAAAGCTTCTTATTTCTAGTCGCAAACACTTCGGGCTCCCAGAAGATATCTCGTCAAATATAGCAAAACATTCCAATGGCGAGGTGTTTTCTCGCTTCTTTTCATTTTTTCCTCAAAGGAATGTAAACTTGTACAAATGGCTTAAGGATTGGATATCATTAGGTAAGTCCATTTGAGTAATAATATTACAGATTTTTATTCTGTAGTGCTTTGCTTGTCATGGTTTTTTTTTTTCCACCAATTTGTAACTTCATTTGTAATTAAAAAAAGATGTGGAATAAATTGATTGAGTGATTGATTGAAAAATTGTAATACTATATTAAACATAATAAGGATGACAGTTGGTTTCAACTGAGTTGTTTACATAGATTAAAGAAAAAGTAAATAAATGGATTAATAAAATAATTTATTGATTGGTTGGTTGGTTGGTTTATTTAATAAATTAATACATTAATTAATTTCATTATAAATGCACACTCATTGAATGAGATTTGGAATAGAGTTTTTGCAGTACATAGTTTGAAAAGTGAATATACAGCCAATCCGACGCCTAACTAAATACTACATGCTCCATTGTACTCCAGTCATAGACAAACTAACTTACCTTTTAGACAAATTGCTCAGAAGAATTTGACTTTGTTTGACCTTAGGTGTGGTCCCAATAGCATCCATCAATCCTCAAGTGGCTATTTCCTCGGATTCACCAATTCCAAAAGAATGGCGACACCAGATGATATACGGAGTAGACGAGGAGCAAGCATATCTGTGCACACCTAATATACGCTTAAGGTACCAGACACTAATGGCTCAACTAAGCAGTGATTCTATTTTGTTGGTAAGTACAGGAATTGGCAAGTTTCTCCTCTTTCAACATGTTTGACTGAGGCGTTGTTGGCTCTCTATGAACCTACTTTCTCCAAATGGCACTATTTTACATTGTACAAAAATATATGCTGTTTTGATCCGCCTTACAAACGACATGTGCTTTTTAACTTGTCTTAACAGGTGGCCAGAGAAGATGTCGTAAACAGGTGGGACAGGTGGTCTAGGCTTGGCGAATTAAAACATCCACCAGACAATGATTGCAGGTGGATTCGAATGAATGTCTTGGGTTAGTTTTTTTTTCTATGGATTTTTTAAGTTAAGCAATGATCAGGACTAGGCTTTAAGATAAACTGTATGTAATTATAGATAATATTTCATCACTTAATGTTTTTCTATGGATTTTTTAAGTTAAGCAATGATCAGGACTAGGCTTTAAGATATACTGTATGTAATTATAGATAATATTTCATCACTTAATGTTTTGATCATCTCTTTGAGACTTTATTGTGTAAAACACTATATAAATAATAGAAAATTGTAAGTACAGTATTAATGAAGTTCATATATATATATATCACATTATGTTGGATGCCTTGTTGTTGTTTATAATTATAAAAGTTCTAAAAGATATTACATTGATTATACATTCAGATTAAATTAATAAAGAAATAAGCAAAACCATTAAAACCATGAAAATTTAAACAAAAGAAAATAATTCTTGTTTTGATAAAGGGCAAGTGGTGAATATGATGAGAGAGCAAAGTGCCCCGAAACCGCACGAGGATTACAGTCGGCGTTACTACTACAAACCACTGAAGCAGCGACGTACTACACACATACGTATACCAACACGTTATAAGGGTGGAATTACGCTGTGTATTAGGAAAGAAGACAAGAAGGCCTGCGAAGCTGTTCAGAATGCGCCGGAATTGCCTCTGATGGATTGAAGGAAGAATGTACATGTGTACCAGGTCCTGTTGCAATAATGAGGCACTATCTGAAGGCGCCCTCAATGTCTTGCGGAGATGGCTATCATTCAGTTACAACTTTGAATTTGAAAAGCATCGGCTTGTGCTACTAAATGATGTATAGTAACTTTTTCAGACAGGATTAGCCCAGTAATGATCAGGGGCGGATTTAGGGAAAAGGAAATTAGTGATTGCCCAAAATGCCGCAGAAGTTATTTCCAGGCAACTAGAAAGTTTTCTCTCCTTCCCATCGTTCCCTTCCCCCCCCCCCCCCCCCCCCCTTTCGGACATCTCTGGATCCACCACTGATGACAGATGAGGAAATTATTAATCATTTTTCTCATGTAAACAGATTGTATGTACTGTACTCTACTTGTAATTTACCATTTGTCATTTGACATTTTTGGGATTTTTTTTCATAATATTTTGCAATATTAGAATAAGAAGGAATGATTATAATTTAATATCATTATGTAAATTAATACTAATAGATCAGCAATATAAAAATAATAAACTGATTGAACTGAATCCAACAAGCATAGAAACTGCAAAACTTTGAAAAAAGCATCCGATAGCTGTACAGATCACTGAAAATGGTGTTTAGCACCAAAACTGACAAGCAACTAGTCATTAAATAATGGTATTTTCAAAGAAGTTTTCTTTAATAATGTAAAACATTTGTGAATTTCACAATATGGTGTTTGCAATGGAACCTTTGAGTTATACACGGTATTATTGGTGTTACCTGAATTTGATGATAGTGAAAATGCAAAGAAACTAACAAATTTCTGAGCATTAAAGTAAATATATAGTAATGGTTGATGTGCAAATCATTGGTACTATTGACAATTAGCAATTTACCAAGATGAAGTTATTTCCGAAATTTTTAATCATGGAGGTTATTTATTTACATTTCATCCCAAGGAAAGTATAGTAGATGAGAAGACTATATCATAATAATACAATATGGTAAAAGAAAGATTACCAGTAACCAAGATACATTGGTTGGCTTTCAAACTGGAATGACCAGTGATTTTTTTTTTTGGTACAGATGTTGAGATTAAAACCTAAAGTGAAAATGAAATATTCTCTACTAATATGGGCCACTTGCACAAGAGAGGAATAAACAATTAGTGCTTTTGATTTAAATTGACAAACATATCCTATTTTTAATAATATATATCAACTGTACTATAACTTTTCAAAAAATTTTGAGAGTTATTTCCTAAATTTTATATTGTTCAACACAGCAATGCAGTTATTGTAAACTCATAAACAGTAACCAGTATTTTTTGAGTTTGATAACCTTTGACCCTTTGCAGTGATTGCTGTGCTGTTATCAGTGGAGTTAAATTTCTCAGCCATCGTTGAGGAGCTTCTCTCCAGCTTAAAAAAAATTTGGCGTCTAATATATTTAAAACTCTTTTTCTTATTATAACTTGTAAATGTCAACTTGTAATTTCATAGGTGATACATCTGCGACGCATCCTTACGGTAATGAACAGTAGCCACGACACCTCATAAATTGGTAACAGAAATTCTCCTACATCTTATTAGATTGGCCACAGTTCTTTATTATAATATTAATTATGTAATGGTTTTTCAAGTATATGCCTTAAAATAGAATAAACTTATTGATTTTTGTCATAAGAAAAATCCTGCCATTTGTAAAATTTAAACTTTGGACTCAAGGGAGCACCCTTGTATAGATAAAATTAAATCTACATAAACTATTAATTAGTTTGGTTCAGGACAAATCAAATCAACATGGTATTTATATGGCACCTTTGAGAATACAATATGAGATATTATGTCTATTATGAGAATATGTAGATAAAGTTACTTTATTGCCATTGTTCCTTTAAACACCTCCATCTATACCAGGGCACCACATGACCACGCCAACCCTCATCTACTTGGAGATTGAAATCTGAGATATTAAACCTTTTAAACCAAACAATGGTAATCGCTCATGTATTGTAAATGTGCATGTTCTTCTCTTTTCCTTTTATCCTATTTGTGTAGTAAAGCAATAAATACCTAAATGGTTCATTCATTAAACAATGTTTATAATTTACCGGCTAAAAACTTGATTTTGCCTATCCTTAAGGTTAAGGTTGGAGTGCGCCTCACTATTCATCTTGAAAATATGAATAGGCTGACTACCGGCTAAATAAACACTACCTTCATTAAATACCACAAACCTTTTTCTTTTTATACTAAATAACTTTTTTAGTAGAGTTCTGCTGTTCTCCCACAGGGAATGTATTTTGAATATTTTCAAGCAAATGTCCTGATTTACGAAGTACTAATTGAAATTAATTATGTATTAGCATGAAAAACCCCAAAATATTTTAATAAATTCCAAATAATATTAAATTGATAAGAATCTACAATTGGTCCAGTTTCATTTATTCTTTTAAGTTGTGGATAAGAAAATGTTCATTGTATTATGTTCAGTTATTTATATAAACAAATACAAAATCTTAATGTATCATAAGTTTTTATTTATACGCCTTAAAACATTTTTTAAATTGAAAAAATCCTAAATGTATTGTAGCTCTGAAAGCACTTACTTCTCTCCTTGTTTTCTTTCGAGTATAAAATATTTCTAAAATATCAATGTGAGTATCTATTGTGATATGTATGCATATGTATACAGGAAAATTACAATATTGAAAACAAAAAAGAAATAAAAGTGAAGAAATGTAATAGAAAAGTGAACGTGCTGTAATTTATTTGCGTTACAGATGCAATTTATGTGTCAATTAAAGAGTAAGTAAATCTTTGCAGAGACACTAGGGAACATGGGCCTGGATCATATCCCCAGTTTCTGTAGCATTAAATCTTTACACCTACATCAATTTAATCATCGTCGCTTCATAAGTGGTCTCACTCTTCTATTCCGCATGTACTCCGGAACAACTACTCTCTTAAACGCTGAGTGTTCCACCAAAGTACTCGCCTGCCACCTAACAGCCCACATCATTCATTAGTGGTACCCGTTAATTCAAATAGTCCAGTTTACTACAGATCATTTTTGCCAACCATTGTTTTATATGGAATACCTTGCCTGTGGTAGTTCCTGATGGTAATTCTAGTGCATTTTCTAAGATGGAAAACTCCTTTTTAATGGCGTAAAAACCCATGCTCCCAGATTTGTCATGCTCTCTCATATAGCATGAAGATGTTTGTGGCTGCTTTTCCTTGCAACTGCATCCATTCTTTCATTCATTATGTTGATGTACATTGTGATTGTTTAATGGCCAGTGGTGCTATTCTTTCGTTTCCCAATTTTCTATGATTTTGGTGGACGGACTGCCAAGGACACAAGCAAAGGATTGAAAACCCCACCATTCCTACTGCACCAAACCGCAATTAATTGACCATTATTATTATTACGAATAATTCAGGGTGCAGTACATTTTGTTTGAATTACAAGTCAATTTAATATTTAATATTATTACTGTACTTTATTATTTAGCATAGGCCTATATCAAAAGAACAAAAGCATATGATGATGATCATAAATTTATTCACTCCTTTTCTCGAACGACCTGTTTTAAAAACACGGTATTTAATGTTTTTCCTAGATTTTGGGGAGACTATCCCATCCAAAATTAGGGATCTCCTTGTAATTAATTTACATATATTTATTAGGAATTTTAAATCTCATTTATCAACATGTGCATATGATGATTAGTATTTTAAATTGTATGATTATTTGCATTCTTCAAAATTGTTATAGTTTTAAATTTCATGGTTGAAAAAGTGTTCTGAGAGACCTACATTTACAGTGATTGAGTTCACTTTTTTGGTATCCCTTCTCTGCACTGCCGTCAACCTGTTCTTTGTTGTGTGTTTTTGTATGTATGAGAAGAAATAAATTAAATGAAATGAAATACTGCAATTAAATCATGTATCTTAGTTCAAAATCTGAAATTCTTCATTACTTTATTTCCATTAAAAACTTGATCACTCTATTGGTCTATTTTTTTGGTCTGCCCTCGTCTTCACTCCATTACTTCAAAGAAGTTTGAAATTCTGTGTCTTGTTTGTTGCTTAAACAGTGAGAACACTAAACACTTGAGATCTAATAATATGCAATCAAATTTTAATCATATTTTCAATAAGTCAAAAGATATTTTTGTGCACACCTTTTGAGACAATACAGATATATAATATCATTCATTTTTAGGAGTTAATTGTACAAATAAAAAAAGCAATTTTACATCCATATACACAAGAATTTTTATAAAATATCTTCTCTGATCTTGGTTCACAAACTGTATACAGAACTAGACAAAGAAGTCAAACATGAAACAATTTTTTTTTTCACACCAAGCCTCTTTCTTGTAACCCAATTTAGAAGCATATGCACCATAATATGTTTCCCCACCCAGCATTAGATCTAGGATAAGCATATGGGGATGGGCATCAGTAAATTACAAGTGAATTATGATTATATACTGTACATAATTTGTTGGACTGGGACCCAAATAGTTACCGTTCCAGTAACTAAACTAGGAGAGCCAAGGACCACAAAAAAACATGATTTTTTACAATTTGGGGTTAAGAGACTATTTCAAAACTTCAGATGCACAATTATATTGATAGAGTTTATTATATTTTGTGTTCTGTAATAATAACCTAAATTGTAATTTTTTTCTTCTAAAAAAAAAGGCCCCATACTCCAAAGGTGAATCAGTCCACAACCGATTGAATTATAGTCCAATCTTATACTACTGTTTCATTACAAAATATAGGCACATCTTCACTGCCTCCACATACTGTACACTTACAAAATATTACCTTATGTCAATTTGTATATTACTTTAAGATATGTATTATATTCATACAAATTTGCTTCATGATTATCAAGGTTAACTACTGACCTACAATCATATTCATGATCCTAATGTTACTACATTGTATGATAATAAAAAAATTCTTCATCGAAAAAATTCATTTGGATCCACTAAATATATGCAATATTGAGGCCCCTTGAGGCTCCGAGACCCTTGGCTTTAGCCAGTGAGAGCTCATAGCCATTACACCACTGCTTATGACCTTTTAATTCATCTACATAAATCTTACTGTGATCATACTAAAATACAACTCAACATATAGTGTCATCACTAAATAAAACTTAAACAAATGGTTAAGACTATCCCCTGGCTGCAGATTACAAGCTTCCTTTCTTGTATAAATTCGGAAATGGTAGCCACGCCTTCTATTTCCTTGAAAGCTCAGTCTCTTATACACATCTAGATGTGTATAAGAGACAGATATTATTCTCTCGGAATAATCTTGTTAAGTTTATTTTATTCTCACTCAACAAAAAGGAACGCTCCACTCACAGGGATGGAAGTGAGTCTGTGTGTCGGACTTAGGGGGAGGGAAGTTGTTTTTGGTTAGGTTCACACTAGAGCCTTAATATAAAGATCGGGAGCTAACCGTTACCAGGAAGTGAATACACTAACAGTTTAGGAGCGCTATCAGTTAGCAAGTTGACCTCATTTCCATCATTAACCAATCAGACGTATGCATTTCCAATTTTCTATTGGCCAGTATTCCCACTGTCATCTTGATATTGAGATCAGGAATTTTTTGTATGAACGCAAGGTGTGGATGCTGCTAACTGTTAGCTGCCGTGTGTGAACATAGCCTTAAATCATGAAAAACAAATCTTGATGTCACAGGATCTGAACCCAATGCCCTAGGATTGGAAGAAAGAATTTTAACCACCAAGCTACAACATAGCCACATCTTAGAAGAAAACTGAATAACCAATGATATATGTTGCTTAAACTTGACAAAACTTGACATTTTTCTTTTTAATCTCCTATTGCCATGTGTACTTGTTTAACTCATTTTGTATTTGCATTTATAATTTGGCAATAAAAGTGAAATGAATAATTACACCATTTTAAAAATACAAAATTCATTAAGTAATTATAAAACAAATATTAACTATTTTATTATTAAAAAATTTAATTGCCAAACTCAGTTATTTTACATCTAGATGTCCGGTAGATGTAAAATAACTGAGTTATTTTACATCTACCGGTAGATGTAAAATAACTCAGTTATTTTACATCTACCGGTAGTTCAGCAGTACATACCCAACATGAGTTCATTATTTTTGCACAATTTTTACTGTATGTTATATAATTTCCATTATATTATAGGCACAAAAACATAATTTTAATGTTACTACTTAAAAGCTTTGCAAGCTCCAATATACACCCTAAACCCATGCCTAAAGCCGGTGCCAGTCTGAGTGGATCGTCATTAAACAAGATTCGTTACTAGCACTTTGTGGCATTGCATTCTCCATGCAATCACGTTGGCCGACGACCAACGGCCGACGTGAGTGACCGGCTTAATACAGTAGTTACCATCCACACATTCAAGTTTTATTAAGTGATAAATACCTGTGATTTGCCCATAAATGGGTGTGATATGCATCATCTTGTCAATATATGGGTATGATATGACATCATCATGTCCATATATGGGTGTGATATGACATCACCATGTCCATATATGGGTGTGATATGACATCACCATGTCCATATATGGGTATGATATGACATCATCATGTCCATATATGGGTTTGATATGACATCATCATGTCCATATATGGGTGTGATATGACATCACCATGTCCATATATGGGTATGATATGACATCATCATGTCCATATATGGGTGTTATGTGACATCATCATGTCCATATATGGGTGTGATATGACATAATTTTTTCCATACATAAGCAAGTAAGTAAATGTGATAGTATTGATATACTATTGATATGTTTAAAATATTATTATTGGTTATTTTACTATACATTGTACATGTATATCTCTTCTTTACCATTATGAACTCTAGGTGTAGATAGTGGGTTAAGCCACTGGATAGACATCGGGCTTCCAAATACGCTCTTCATTCCCATACAACGTGTTTTCTTTTCCCATTTTGCTTTTTCCCTCTTCAGTTGTTCAATCCCCTATAAAGAGAAGAAAAAAAATTGATTCTGCTATACATTAGCATTCTATAAACCATATTGTAGTATTAAATGAATAGATTAATGAATACAATACATTCACCTATAGAGAAGGAAAAAAAAAGTTGATTCCTTCATACATTAAATTAGCATTCGATAAACCATATTGTAGTATTAAATGAATATATTAAATGAATACATTATTGAAATTAAATAATATATAAATGTTGAAAAAAATAATATAATATGGAAACAATTTTTTAAAAGTATAAATGAAAGTCAACAAGAGGCCTTTTGCCAACAGCAGGATTTTTCGAAATTATAAAAAAAGAATAGAAAAATTACATTCAAATGTAAGTCTAAGAGTGCCATTTCCGAGGTGGTCTAGCTAGTCTAGACCAGTCACCTTCACCTGTTAAAGTCCCTACTACCTGGGCCCCCTCCATTTAAAATTCCTGAATCTGCCACTGAACAGGGTGGCAGGACACATCTATCACTCTTATATAAATTAAGCAAAAAATATAACATTATGGAAAGAATGCAAGGCTGAGGTGCAGATTCCTATTACAATCATATGCAATGTTTTTTTAAAATTTTAATCCTATACGATTTTTCTAATCATCGCAAAAAGGACATCATCAAATTGGAATGGTTGGTGGTCTTACCGTTTCATCGGTGCATATTGCATGCAGTTGAGTGCTAAACATTATGATTGTGAAAATCCCAAATAGTAATGCTTCAAATCCTAAAATGATGAGGAAGACCGTCGTGGATGCTGGAGAAATCGATGAACAGCTTTGGACTGCAAAAACAACATTAGTTTAGAGCTATTATATTTTTGTTTACTTTAGTGTCCTTTTTTCCAATGTTGTTTCTCAAGAGTAACATGTTCATAGATCTTTTTGAATATTTAAAAGTACTACAACCCTACATTTGGGACACCCCTATTAAGGGAACACCCCCATTAAGGGGATGCTCCTAATAAGTGGACACCCCTATTAAGGGCACACATTTTTGGCAACGAAAGGAGGGAAAGTATATTTTTTAGCACTACAGACACTTTTTTTTGGTCCCGAAGGTGTCCCCTAATAGAGGGGTTCTACTGTATCCTTAACTAAGCAAGAACTTACTATACTTTTGAGAATACAGGTTATAATGATTGCTGTGTCATGTGCTTTAAGTAAAATAGAAATTAGAGGCTTTGGAGCATGATTTTGTTCCGGTGGAATATCTACTGGGGGAAGAGAAAAAAAAGCCCACCCCTTCTCACCATTCTCTCCCCTCCTCTAACGGAAAAAAAAAATTATACTCAAGTAAAGATCATCTCATATCAACTTGTTTTTCCAGCTAGTGTTCCCTCACTTGAATATTGATCATCAGACTTCTACTTGATCATCCCTCCTCCACCCCCACCCCCATATTAAACATCCATAGATATGCCACTGTTTTGTTCAGTTACACCATGGAGGTATTATAGTGTTACACTCTGCTTTGTTGTGTTACCCTTTGAAATTATAGAAAAATATATCAATGAATGCTATACCTGCCCAACTCGTTTTAACACACAGAACGAAATGTGTAACAGCTAACACGATAGCATGCATTGACATCAGAGCAATGTACAACTACAAGAAACAAGAAAATGGCATTTCATAGTCTTTCTTTTTATGATAATTTACAAGATGAGCAATCTGTACATAACAACTTCAATTCTTAATGATCTACTATCTTAAAGAGTTATAATGAAATAACATACTGTTATTTCAGAACAAAGTATGATCTGAAATACAGGTAGGTTGCCATACCGAGTTTAAAATGCATTATTCAATTAGAGTGTTTGATAGTCTTTCTTTTTATAATTTACAAGATTAGCAATCTATAAACACTATAAATTCTTAATGATCCACTATCACAAAGAGTAGGACAATACATATAAACTGTTATTTTAAAACAAAGTATGATCTGAAATAGGTTGCTATACTGAGAAGAAACTCTATAAAGCGTGTATTTGTTAGTCTTTCTTTTTATAATTTAAAAATTACAAGATGAGCAATCTATACATTATAAATTCTTAATGATTCACTATCTTAAGTGTTAGACAATACAAATCATGAAATAACATACTGATATGTATTAGTATGATCTAAAATGTGTTGCTGTACCTAGAATAAAATGCAATAGTCAATGAAGAGTAAAACTCTTACAAATATACTGAAATTCATTATCAAATCATTACAAAAATCCACAATATACTTTATTACAATACACTATTAGGATTGGACACTTACTGTAAATAGTGCAAAATATTTTTGATTATTCTCACCAACACAATTATTTACCCAAGGGCAGTGATGGTCCATTTTTCTATGAATATAAAAGTATATGATAAAAAAATTATAATTCTTCATCCCATTTCCACATTGTCCAACATAATGTTTTATATTAAATATAGAAGCTACTGCTATGTTATGATGTGACACAGAAATACATGTTATTAATATACTGTAGTATCACCATAAATATTGTGTAATTTATTTATTCATAAATTATTATAATCATTATTTTTTTTGCACAGATAGGTACTAGCATAATTAAATGTTTTACAAATTTATAATTTGAATTTTGTTTTCTTTTTTAGAGCTGTTAAAAGTATTTTGTATTAGATTATCTTATCCTTTGAAAATAAGGATATCATTTGATATAACATCATTACAGTACACTGCGAAGAGCTTTGAAAAAATTTATATTTTGGAAGATGGTGCCACAGAAAAAAAACAAGAGAAAAATATACGTACCGTATACACCTTCTGCAAATACTGCAATGGTGAGCCCTTTCTGGTTTAATACAAATACATTTTGGACAACGGTAAACAACCTGACCAATTTTCAAACCCAGGTCATTTAACTTCTCTCTTGTGGCATTTCCTAGAGGTACTGCACCCTACAAGGACCAAACAAAATGTTATGTTAATAATAATAATCAAGGGACATTTACATAGTGTATAATTCAAAGAAGCTTATAAAAGTGCTTCATATTGAAAGACAAAATTAAATAAAAAATTAAAATAAAATAAAATGATATTTATTCTGACTCAATAGAAAACAGAGGACCTCTGAGGGTCACTATCCAGGAGTGGATTTAGGGTCATGGGTCATGGGGCACATATCTCCAGGTTTTGTACACTGCTGTCTTTTATTTTTTAACAGAAAAAAATACAAAATGGCATTCAAATACTAAATATTACAACATTTCTTAACAGCATATACTGAACACGATTCGCCATTTATTGGATACTTATCTGGAAAATGATTGTACATCTACAGTAGGTCTATATCAAATCCCTACCTCCTCATTTAAAAAATTCTGGATCCACTCCTACCATCTGCCATCATTTCCTAGTTTATTACAATAATTGAATGGTTATTATTTCGATATCATGGTACACAGATAACCATGTTATATACTTACTGGGTCAGTCATCATAGCTCTTATGTGCGATAAGAAAGCCATGATTGTGAAGAAGTTAAACATAAGCATGTGCGATGTACTATATAATCCAAATCCGATGGGTAGAAGGATAACTTTCATCACTGCAAACTCTCCATATAACATCAGCAAGTATGTAATAACAACACAAACAATCCCACATGGATCCTGAAAAGAAAAGAGAGCTTTTTAATTTCTGCATTACTAGTCTGAAAACTTTAGGTTTGGCATTTTTTATGGTGTTTCAAAAGTAAAATTTCAAGCATCGAATTATTGTTCATAATTTAACTATGCCTTTTAGCCAGGTTGGTAACATTTTACCAACTAAAATGCATGGAGTGGGTGTTGGTTAGACCTGAACTATAGAATGAAGCTTTTCGCTAAGCCATGCCCCTTAAATATTGTTGCAAAGGTCTCACAAAATGATACTGTTAAAACATATGCAAACACATGTGTTTGTGGGACAATAAGTGTGCTTGTTGCAGTTTTAAACATGCACACACTTTGGTCATGTTCTAATTGGCCAGTTGTTTGATTGACACCCTGGAAAAGTCCATTATGCCAGCATAATGCTACAAAAATTCTGACCAATTGACCACCCTATAAGTCTCTGTTCTTGGACAATACATTTGCTTATGTTTTATATGTGATCATACAAAAATAGGGGTCACAAATAAGGACAGAATAATTAAATGATTTTAGAAATGGGGAAGAGGGGCTGCAATTAATAACAAAAAAATGTGTTTCTTTTATGGGAAATATCGATGAATCTTGAACCCTGTGTCCCTCCCAACGTATTTGAATCCCCGCTCAGAAGAAAAAAAAACTTTATTACCTGTACAAACCATTTATCACGTATTCCTAATTTTTTTGTCATTCCGCAGCAGTCACAACACTTATTACTTCTCTTTTCAATCAATTTCTTGATTGCTCCACTTTCGACATTGGCCAAGTCATCTTTCTCATCTGGATTTAGTGGTTGCAGCCGAAGTGCGGTGCTCATGATTGATCTTCGGGAAAAAAAGTTCTATCAACTTGATGTTTCATTCAGTGTAGAATTTGTTAAAATTAATCATTAGAAATATAAACATTTTTTAACTGCTCAAAAATGGGCTCAATTACAATTACAAACTAGCCAGGCACCTTCTGTTTATCACATGCCCTGTCGAAACACGTTCACTTGTTTTCAACAGTAAACAGTCACTGTTGTTTTGACTGATAGAGTATACTGCTCTCATTCACTCTACAGTCGAGTCTTCATAACTGAGCTGAGGCTAGCTTTTTGATAGAGGCCTGTGTGGGAAGAAGATGGGTTGGGCAGCTACAGATAGTAAACACTGGCTGGAGACTGTTGTGTGGTGTAATAATGGTGGTAGTACATTTTTAATTTCTTCATTTATTCTACACTAGCAAATGCAAAACTGATTTTACCGTTACTACATATGATGAGCATACAAATACTGTACATATTTCAAAGAATACTTACGTAAAAATCAGTAAAAATGGCGTATTTAATGATTATTTACACAGAAAACATCCACAACGTATCAAGGTTTTCGATCTCTTGTGATCTCCCGGAAAATTCGACTTATACTAAGAAGAATATTATCTGCAGTCCGCACTGGTTATGAATACCGTTTGTTGAAAAAGCTCCTTATTTTACAACTTGTAATACTGCCCTCATTCAACACACATGTTGAAAAAGTTGTTTTCGTTGGTTGATGTTTTTAACTTTTTATCATAATTTATTTCCTTACAATGTTGTATATATGGTGAATGAGGTCTGATCCTAGTTGAAATTATATGCAATATGGCCTCTGTTTCGTTAAGTGAGGCAGAGAAAACGTTTATTATTCACGGAATCCAGGTATGTCAAATTCTAAGCTAGGTGCTACTAGGGGGCCTAAAAACCCTAGCCTAGGCCCTACTTACTACTACTACTACTACTACTACTACTACTACTACTACTACTACTAAACTAGGGCCCTAGCCTAGGCCTAGGGTACTATCTTCTCTTTTTAAGCCGAAAATGGTCGCCACTCTACGGCCTGTTGACCTTCACCCCGGGGTCGTGGATTGCTTCTAGGCCTAGGCTGGTAGTAATTAATATTATACATTTGTAATTCATGATATATCATTAAATATGTTGAATTATGATTAATAATCGTTTTTAATGATTTTTAATAATTGATTTAAGAATTTTGTCAATTAAATATATTTTTAGGCCTCTACAATACAATAAGTACAATTCTAATGGTTGCATATAAGTTTATGATTAATGTTTTTAAAATTTTGCCACCTATATGGCATTGTCTGTGTGTGCTTGCATGTGGAGTGGTTATGTGGAAATATTTTTGTATTTAATTTGTCAATTTTTAATTTTTGATTTTTGTCAAACTGGAGGACAAAATGACTCATGGCCAAACAACTTAATTTTTATTTCATTAAATTCACTTTTAGGATGATTTACGTTGTGATGGACGAGAATGTGAAACATACCGGTTGATAGAGCTTGAGTGTGGTCTTGTCTCCAACTGCAGCGGGTCGGCAAAACTCAAGCTTTCTAACACAGATATTCTTGTCGGGATTAAAGCAGAAATGGGTACTCCAAAAACCTACTTACCAGATAAGGGTTATATGGAGTTTTTTGTAGACTGTTCAGCAACAGCTTCTCCCAAATTTGATGGTAGAGGAGGTGAGGATCTAGCCTCCGAGATAGCTACCACCATGTCAAGGATGTATGGAAGTGCTGAGACTCTAAACCTGGAAGACTTATGCATATTACCCGGCGAGTGTTGCTGGGTTTTGTACGTTGATGTGGTGGTGTTGGAGTGTGGTGGTAACTTATTTGATGCAGTGTCGCTGTGTATCAAGGCTGCATTAGCTGATGCTAGGTGAGGTTGGCAGAAATAATGCTTAATTCTTCTATACTTAAATATTAATAATAATTATATTAATAATTTAATATTTTAAATAATAATTTGTTCAAATTGAGTCTCAAATCTCTTAACCTCTTGTCAATTGTGAACCACAACTCAATGCATTGTGTACTGTACAGATGGTATACCTTTAAAATTTCTGTCAAATAATTGTACAGTAATTATAATCTGAGCAGTGTACAAAAAAATGTTTCTTTACTATTCTACAATTATTTCAAATGTTTTCTATCAAAAGCAACTATGTAATTTCTTTGTATTGCTATTAGAAATATATCATGATTGGTTGTATACATTGTATTTATTCATATTACCAGTACAGTATATATTTTAACTTAAAAATACATGTACCATACACAGTGTACAACTGATGTTTGATTTCATATCTTGACTGGTCCTTTAGAATTCCAAAGGTAACAGTACAGATGGATGATGAGGGCAACCAAGAGATGGATGTGTCTGATGATCCACACGACTGCTATCGCTTCAAACCGGAGATGATGCCCCTGCTGGTTACTGTAAATAAGGTATTGTATTGAGGTCTTGCTAGGTTACATCAAAGATAATAGAAGGAGAAAGATAGAGCTGAGCCCAAAAATTGTGAAACAACATCCGGGTTCCACAGTCCCCCGACTCCATGGTGTCGCCCTTGCTTATCATTACAGTATATTATATTCACAGATCAAGTTTGTTTCCTGTTAGCTTGCCCACTCCGTCAAAGAGTCACCTGCTCACAGGAGAGGTCAGATGTTCCATTAGTTTTCATGGAAAATGTGCGAAGAGCTCATTCTTTGGTTATAAAAATTCTTAGGTTACATACAGTAACCTGTCTCACTTTACCTCAGGGACGTATCCAGGGGGGGAGCCGTGGGAGCCGCGGCTCCCCCCCTTTGTACACAGTGTTAAAATTTTAAAGCTTATTCTTGAGCCAATACAAATTCTTTCCTGGGATCACTTAAAATGAATACCTCTAAACATGTAAATATGCATCAGTACACGTTATACATAGGCCTAATAGAACACATAAGCCTAAGCGTGATTTAAAAAAATCTTAAATCCATAAATCTCAGGCCAGTTATTTTAAGATAGAAATGCGATACTTTGGTTCAATTTCGTTTTTATCCTTTTGAAAGTTTCTTTAAATGTTTGTTTAATAATACTACTACTAATAGTAATAATAATAATAATAATAACAATGATGACGATGACGATAGTAATAATTGATATTAATATTAATAACAATAAAAAGTGAAGAAAATTGTGCTAAATGCGAAAAAAAGTTTTGATTGGTTGATCATAATACAGTATATATAGTTAAAGCTTAGTAAGCTATAATTAGGCCAAAGTTGTCCTGGATATTAAGTAGATCCCTGATAAAAGGTAATGAGAAAATTTTTGGCGTTTCATTTTGCTATAATGGTAATGTGATGATAATGAATTTTACTATATAAAAGTGTCATTTCCGGCCATTTCGAGAGGTACTATTTCCTCAAATTTTCTCACCTCAGCCCCAGCCATGGTGGGGCTGAGGTGGTTGTGAAATCACGTTTTTGAAGTAGCCCNNNNAAGTACATACTCAAAGACAATGTTTTTAAGCTTTGTTTTCTATGGTGTATACACACACATTAATAAGATCTCTATGGTTGTCAAAAATCCCTGATAAAAGATCATGAGAATTTCTTTTGGCGGTTCATTTTGACTAATGGTGATGTGATGATGATGAATTTTACTAAAAGTGTCATTTCTGGCCATCTAGAGGTACTATTTTCTCACCTCAGCTCCAACCATTGTGGGGCTGGGGTGGGTGTCGACTTACAAAATGTCCTCCCCCTCCACCTTTCAAAACAGATCTGTGCTCTTCCCTGGGTATGGGCATTAAACTCTTTCGAGTCGGCTCTTGATGTATGTCTTAGTGACTGCTGTTTGTTTTTAGGATGTGATCTGGTTTTCCATGTCCATTTTTCGTGATTATGACTATTCTGGATAAAGAATGTTTTGAGGAGAGGTGGATTCAAGGCACCCCCCTTCATTTTTTTAAGGCCTTTCAAAATCCTGGCTACGTCCCTGCTTTACCTAGTCTGCTACATAAGTGAGTTAAGCCGGCACTCACAGTGTGTCTGATGGTCGTCGGCCAACTCGATTCTACGAAGGACACAACGCCACGGCGCGTGTGCAACGTATCATTTTTAATGAAGATCTGTTCCAACAGCCACCGACTATCAAAATGAAATCAAAGAAAGACTAATACTTGTTAATGTTGATTTTTTGCTTTGACTGCTTAAAATAGGTAAACCAGAAACATATTATTGATGCTACAATTGAGGAGGAGGCTTGCAGCCTGGCCTGCATCATGATAAGTGTGATGCCGAAGACTGGAAAAATTACCTCCATTGTCAAGAAAGGCTCAGGAAGCCTGGATCCTGACAGTACAACAGATATGATTCAAGTAAGTTATGGGTTTCAGGGGAATTTGGCAAACCTGTAGCTCGGACTCTTAAACTTGAGGTTTGAAACCCTCATTGTGCACATTTCATTTTTGTCCTTCCACACATGGCATTTGACCTACATTTGCCTCTCTCCATCCAAAATCAAAATTGACTAATATGATAAAGACAATTAAAAACACAAGAAAGAAATAGATCTTAGTATTACTGTAATCTTATTTCTTTACAGTGCGGAAAACGTGTGGCAGATCTACTGCACAGTAATCTAATGGACACCTTAAATGCAATTGAAAAGTCTGGCAGTAAAGTTGAAAAAGTTGGCTTCTTAGCTTAAAGAAAATAGAAGCTGCAAATATTGCAAAAGTATATGGGCAGAGAAATATGTTTCAAGATCAATGACAGTTCTGTATTAGGAAAGAAAGAAGAAAGTGGATTTGTACAGACAAACAGAATGATAACCAAGCAGAGAGAACTCTAGAATAGGCAGAAGTGAAGCTGATTATTCATGACAACAGCTTCCTTTGGCAAGCGTAGCTGACAAGAGAAACGGATGAATGATTGATTTTATGAGAAATAATAATTAATGTAAATTTTTATGAGACAGACAGTAGTACTGTGGCAACAGTCTCATACACAATTAATTATAATGATTTTGCCATATAATCAGCAGTGAAAGTGATGATAGAGTTGTCAAATACATGTAGTTGGTAATGTCAACCAAAGATCGGAAACTATTGCTATAAAACATGGGTGTAGGGACCCCCCATGGCAGCAAATTAGTTCCATTGAGTGGGTTAAAATAGATATTTAGTTCCGCATTCTCATATTTCGCAACCCCCAGGTTGAGACCAACCTACGCCCCTGTAAATGTTTTTATATATTAAAAATGGAGTTGAATAGATGCTTAAGATGCTTGCCGTCTAACCCCAGGGTCATGGGTTCAATTTCTGTCATAGCAGGACTTTCTCACGACTGAAAACAACTCCAATCCCTAGGTCTCAATAAGAGACTTGGTTTATAATAATAGATGGATTTATATAGCGCAAATAAACGAGGTCTCTATGCGCTAGACAATAATGAAGTCAAGAACACAAAGAAAAAAGCCGGGAAAAAAAAAAAGCATCATTCCATCCTAGAAGTGGCTAGTGCACTTGCTGTTGGATTTGAAGGAAATAAATAAAATTTAAAAAATCATCTACTCTCGTGTGGTAGAATTTTAAATAGTTTCATATCCGTGTGGTTCCAGCTGTTCTCTTGGACAAGTTGAGTATAAAAATAAACTTAATGGCACTCTAAGTTAACACCCTATACTGATACAGTAGATGGCATCATCATCAGTGTTCTGCATTGTCCTTTATGACAGGACACCCATATTCACTGGTGTATGCAGAAAGGGGAGTAGCTCCCTGCCCCAAAGGAATTTTAACTTGCATACACTTAACCTTATTTCTCAAACTACTGCTCCCCAATGCTATACACTACCCTCGAGATACACTACTGTGTGTCTGTATCATAAAGTGCATAAACTGAGATATAATGACATGTGTTTACTGTACCCAACTGTAGTCATTATGAGCTTTTAGCTTCCTACCATTGAGTTCAGCAATAACAGTTAATACAAATAAGTTATTGAGGAGTTTCCCTTCCATTTTGCAGGGATGTAGTTATGGTGGGCAGGGCCACCCAGCCTGTCTAAAACTAATTTCATGGCCCTCCACCCTCCATCCTTAAAATCCACTCTTATTATTTAGAATTTGCCAATTTTATCACCCACCCTTAGTTTTCTACAGCTACAACCCTGATTTTGAATGCACTGACAACCGAAAACCATAAAATTAAGAAAACTACAGTATTTATCTTCCAAAAGTGTTTATTGTACAGTAAAATGAAAATTAAAATGTGAAAAATGTGTTGATACAACACTACAGAATTGTGCATTCACAATGTAGACAAACAGCAAAATGTGTAAAAACATTGACATTGATATAATGCAGTATTAACAAGTATTATATTATTGATACAACAAATAAATTGTGCTTCGTAGAGTGAACAAAATTACCTTCATTTTCAATGTATTATTTTAATAAACTCCAGATAAATTTTGATTGACCCAGCTTGTAATTTTTTTTCCCAACTTTAGTTTACTGGAATGACGTTGACAATGAGATTGATGAATGTTGTCAGTACATATTTATTATATACAAAAAAATAACATGGATGCATCTATGCAACAATAAGAGGTAGAACTTTAATACTTTGCTAATAAAGACGTGTTGACACCAAGCTTGAATCTATTAACTATGCCATATGTTCATACAGCAGACCATTGCATGTCTTAAAACATGTACAAAAATCTTATTTATAAATATTTTAGTGGCAGTCACAATTGATTGAAATTATCATGTGAATGATGAAGGTAGGGGAATGTAATTGCAGGATAGAGCAACTCATGAGGCAGCCAAAGATCAAGGGAACTCTCAAAATTTAAAAATTGTGGCACAATAATGCTTACATACTTAAAATATATTATTTTACTACCTCAAATTTTTACATGTATGTTCAAATAACTTTCCGAACTACACACTCATTTTAAGGCACTGCATGCAGTACCTATGGTTTACATTAATTTTCATTGAAAAATATTTACAAAGAATTAATATTTCTTTTGGTCATAAAATTGGGCATGTTTCAATGGAACTTTAAAATTTCCAACTAAGTTTCTATTTTATTCAAAAAATATACAGTAGTGTTAAGGCATACCTCAATGAATTTTCTAACAATAAGCACAATGATATACAGTACATCCTTATTTTTAACATATAGGGTAATGTGATTTCTTTCACAAATATTTACTGTACATGTATATATACAAGAATCAATTGTTTGAAGACTTAAAACCAAATAACATTTATTCTATTCTGTCCAGAGTCCTTTGGTAAATTTCTTTTTCTGGTATGGATGTTATACTTTTTTTTTGTTATTAAAATGTCTAACAATAAGCATAATGAAGTACAGTACATCCTTATTTTTAAGCTAGGCTAATATGATTTCTTCCACAAATATGTACTGTACAGGTACATGTATATACATGTATACAAGAATCAATTTTTTGAAAAGACTTTAAAAGACCTCATAACTATATTCTATTCTGTCCAGTCATTTAGTAAATTTCTGTTTCCGGTATGGATGTTACAAACAATTATAAACAATTTTGTCAACTGATTCTCAAAATTTAAGATTCATTATTTCCCCTTTCGATATATAAACATCCAATTAAAAACAGCCCATACACTTACACACTGTATCATGATCGATGATTGAATACTATAAAAATATGAGACTGTATGACGTGAGGTGCCATTAATCACTTCGACTCGGTAGTGACATAAAGACGATCACAAACACCAGAGTACAAACGAGAAAGTATGCATAATATTTTGCAGGGCATTTCTTCTTTTCAGCACATATCTGCAAACAAAAAATATAAAATCATTTAGTTTAGAAATAAGTAAATAGTTTTTTCAAAGATTAAATTAAACTCCAATTTAAAGAGCTTACATTTTTAAACAATCAGTATGAATTTTCATCTTTAATTACAGTACAGTAGAGTTAATATAATTGGATTTAAAATGTTATCACATTACAGTATATGACACAAAGGCTGAATTGAACTATCATCACTGAGTCATTTATTTTAGAAATTTAATTCTAAAATTCCAGCTGACAAGACAGACTACACCTCACACTGTACTGTATGCCACACATTTATCAAATGGCAACATGTGACTAAAATTAGGCAGTACTAGAATATATTAAAGAAATTTAAATGTGTTTTTTTTTTTTCCGGATTACCTTAAACTTTTGAGGTTCTATTGTCGGAGAAGGCTTTTTAGGTTGTGTAATAGTATGTGTCTTCTTAACTTCCTCACTCTTCTGGCTCAGTCTCACTGATCTTCTTGTAAGTGGAGTTGGCCGAATTTCGGTTTCTTGCTTTTTAACCACCACTTTCTTTGTGCTTACTTCTTTTACATCTCTTTTTTGCTGAACTTTTTTAATGGATTTTGGATTGGTTGGTGTATGAAATTGTGATTGCTTTTCAATTTCATCCTTTTTAGCTTTTTCAGCATAAAACAAATCTATTGCTTCTTTACAGTCCACAAGATTTTCTTCTGGTTCCCAGGTATCTTTTGAAAACACCTTCCATTGTATCAGATACCGCTTACCCCTCTTTGTACTACGTACATCCAAAACACGTTCAACCTTTCAATAAATCAATGCAAGACAGATCAGTAAAGAATGGCATTTGTTATGAGGTAAAGCTTTAAATGAGAGTTAACTTTTAGGAAAATGAATACAGGGTACAGTACACTGTATCCATATCAAAATACAGTATTTCTTATTATAGGGTGGTGTTGCCATGTAGGAAAATAATATTTATTTAGCCATTTCATGTACAGTACATACAAAAGGAATTTACAAATTAAAACCAACATACTGTAATAATATTAATAATTATTATAATGATTTATATTATAACACCGGAACCCAACCGCCCAGCGTTAGAGGTCCGACATTACTATTGCGCATGCGCAATCAAATGAAAGATCATTGATATTTTAATTACTGTACATGACAATTTTACTAAATAGTGGTAACCTCATGTTTCAATTTTATTTCAAACCACCAACGTTTTTGACTTATAAAAATAACAATGATCTTTAATTTAATGCGCATGCACAACAGTGTGTCAGACTTCTTATGGTGAGCAATTGGGTTCCGGTGTAGGATCAATAACCACAGTATATAATTAAGGCTAAGGCAAGACTTTTTTTTACACCTTGTGTTTAGCGAACCTGCTGACTGCAAATATTGATGATTTTGAATAAAAATAAAATTTTATTTTTGGCCAGTTAGCACACCCGCAGCCACGAAAAAGTGGGAATTTAAAAAAAAAAGTTTTTCTTTATTTTTATTACGCCTTAAAATCTCCAAAGAGAAGAGGTATATTTCTTTCTAATTTAATTATAAATTTGAAGCATTTAACCATCCTATTTCACATTCACCAATAAAATTTTATTTTTATTTTCTCTTCTGTCTGGATGTTTTTGGCAAAACAATTTGCTAAATAAGAAAACAAAATTTTATTTTGTATTTTTATTCTGCCCTCCTCCTCCGATGATCTTTAAATAAGTACACGAAGCAAACGAGGAATAAAAAAAAGTCTCGCTTTAGCAGTTAAAAAAGGGTAGGGGAAAGGATTTTAGACACAATAGGGCACTCAACACTAGATCTAACCTACAAACATGGGGTGTAGGACCGGTTCGGCCGTACACTTGTTCGGCCGTATGATATTCATTGCCCAAATAAGGGTTATTGTATGGAACGCCGTGTAGTGTATAATCAAAGCGTGAATTGGATGTCACTGTACTGTACAGTGCAACGTCGATAGATGCTATATAAAAATCATAAAATCCATTGGTTTGATTATCAGCATAATAACATAATAATGTTAAATCATAAGTATTAGTATTACTAACTTGCAAAAAAACATTATTAACTAACACAAACGTAATAAAATCCACTGTTTTCCCACAAGAAATCATGGATACAGTAGCAATAGATTACAATAGGGAGATTATTGTTAACCACACACACATAGCATACACACAGCTCTGTGCCTATTTGGCGTTCCATACAAATATATTACGGCCGAACAAGTGTACGGCCGAACCGGACGTCATTCAAACATGGCACCTCCACATTTCATGGACCAGGCGTAAGCCTAGACCCCTCTCCTGTTTCTATCTACGGCGACGCCGCTTCATACAAGCTGGGCCGAAGTGTAGAATACTGATGCGACTCGTGAGGGCTAGGCTAGCCATCGCTACCCAGGTTAACGTAAGGTTTGTTGACCATTAAACTACTAAAATTTATGTAGTAAAGTATTTATAAAATACTTAATACATGAAATATTATTATACAATAGTTTTAGGTTCCTAATAACGATATTATGATTCAATAGTCACCAAAATCTCGACATACTTCGTAGATGTTTCCTGACATTTTCAAATTTTCCTCCAAATGATGTTTTTGTGTGTAGAGGGCGACAAACATCAAACTTGTAAATTACGACTGGGCCACGTAAGACTATATTATAATTGTTTATTGGTTTGATTGATATCGTCAAAGTGATGACCATTCATCGACCGCAAGCGAGATAAATCCAGAAAGAAATCAATATTAAACAGGTATGTATGCACTCTATGCTGTCGATTAATTGCACATACAAGGCAAATGTTGTATATTAATTTGTATCACAGGGTATGTTGTGAGTCTGTTTGTATTTGTCTTATCTTCTTGTGAATCGTAGGTTAGGCCTAGGTAGGCCCTGCCCTGAATCTCTTAGTGTAGATGTAGATAGGCAGCTATTCATATAGGCCCGTAGTATTTATTGTTGAGGCTACCTAGGCCTAGATTAGGTCTACCTAAAATAAGCTTGGTCAGGCCTCCCTTCCCATTATATAACATAGCAATTCCTTGCTTGGTGAAACCAGTTTCTAACTGTTGAAGATTTTGCCAAGAAGGATGTCTGATCCCCTACTGAACTGGTGTTTGAATGTCATCATTCATGAAATATGTTTTGTATGTTCATCATGATTTATATTATTATTATTCAGTCAGCTTTTATGGCATTAATCGGAAATTAAAAAAAAAAAAAATCTAATTCTTATAATCCATCAGTTACAAGCATTATGTAGAATGGATATAAACAAATTTAAATAAAGTTATTGAATACTATGAGTACTCAGAGTAGTAGTACAAAAGTACATATTAATTTGTTTGGTATAATTTACTGCAAATGCACCGCCATGAAAGTCACCCTATCTCTTTGAGTAGTAAACATTTATTGAAAACACTTTTTTTTAATAACTTTTAAATTTCTTTTACTTTGCAGAAGTAGACATATGAAATACAATTTATAAGATGCTTTATGTCATTACATCAGTCTGACCTAAAAAGATGACGATTCAGTTTAGACAGAATAAACAAAACACCAATGGATGATAACAAATGCAGTTTCCGTGCAACACCATTGCCATCTGCACAGGAAGATAATACACAAGAAGATGACTCTGAAGAACGTGATGTCATCAACAAGTTACTACAATGCAGTGAGATTGAGGATCAACTTCTACAGATAATACATTGTCAAGAATGGACAGAAGCTGTCAATGGTTGGAAACCAACCATTCCAAATCCCACATATGCAACCCACACCTGTACCCCTCAGCAGGAGGTAAATGCAAATAAGCGCCATGATAGGGAAAGTAAAAAGGAAAAACAAACCCACAAAAAAAGTCTCTATCAAGAATCTCTATGGAGGAGTAAGATAGAGCCTGGGACGTATCGCTATAATCCAAATCACACATGGCAATTTCAGGGATCTAATTCAAAACACTACACAAACATTAAAAAACGACCAACAGATCCTCAGTTGATAGAACATATAGAAAGGGTTCGTGAACATCTCGAGAAAACACTGATAAAGAAAGACAGCGAGTTGCCAGTATACGAAGGAACTAAAGCAAGCCAGAACCAGTTTACTACGAATTCCATCCATAATTTTATCTCACATTTATCAGAGCATAACAAGAAAAACTTTGAAAAAACTCCGCTGCGTCTTTCACAAAGTTTAACAGATTTGAAGAATTGTAATTTGGTTGATAAACCTTCGCTTTCGCAGTCACCTCAAAAGGTTAATCAAAAGTTATTAAGAGAAACAGAGCCTTGGCCTCCAAGCTCCTACAATGTTGTAAATGCTGGAGGAGACAGTCCACAAATTGAAACCCCTCAACTGCCGTTTGTCACAGTTGTATCAAAGAAACCTAATAGCCATTCATACATAATAACAACTGAAGGAGACAGGGAACAACATGAAGTTAGCCTACTTGCTGAGAATCCATCAAATGGCATTTGTCACGATGACAAGAACAACAATGTCAGGAGGCTTAAGAACTTAGAGAGGCATAGTAGTGCGGGTAAGCTGCAATCAAGTAAGCTGGCTTCTAGAAGTTTTGAGAAATTTCCTGCTCAAACATTATTTCACCAAGATCAGCACCTAAATCCATTAACAAAACTTACCCCTTCTTTGAGAAAAGTCTCCGACGATAACGAGGTCATTATGGTTCATCTGAATGGCAGTCGATGCGATGCTTCTCCGTCATCTGCACCAGCATCAGTGACAACTCATGGACGTAATCGCACACCAGTTGAAAAGGATTCATTGCAACATTATTATTTGAAAGTAGATGCACCAAATAAGAACTTCATTCGTACTGGAATTAGCGGTAAGTCAGTGTCACCAGCGAACCAACGTAAACTTAATGGAAAGTCTTCTAAATTAGCACCAAAGGCTACAAGCATTAAGCAACAGGCTAAAAAGACATTTGGACCCACTAATCATAGACTTGCAAGCCTCGGAAGGCCTACTGAGTATGCCACCAACCCTCTGGATACCCTTCACAGAGGGGCATTTGAAAGAGACACAGCAACTGCTATTGCCTCTGAGATTCTTCCAGGTATCAGTGGTCGTAAAGTTGGTGTGCCAGTACTTAGTCATCGTATCTTGTAAGAATTGCTTATTTTTCAACTCATGATAGTATAATAGTGTACAATCTTGTCTGTTGAGTCTTCCAACCAACAGGATCCCCACATACTTCTTTCAGGGTGTTCTACTTCTAACAAATTTCTCTAGAATTTGTACAAATCTCAGGGCTTTTAAATCTGTTATCAGCAAACTTCTTCTAACCTCTTGCACTTAATTGTTCCATTGTAGTGGAACCCAGCTATAGGGTCTTCTCTTTGCCCTATACAATATGCAGCTTCTTCAAAATGAATAGGCTTGTGCTCATTTTTAAGAAGCCGGGAATGTCTTCTAGTCAATCCCTTTAGCAGTAATAATTGAAGCTTATTGCTGTCCTTACAATGTTGCTGAAGTGCATAGACTCTAGAAAATCCACTATTAAACTCTGCATTGCATAAGCATAATTTTATCATTTACATTTAAAATATGAATATTCTGTATAAAGGGTAGTATTACCAAGCTATCTCGTGAATAATTAAGTATTCCCATCTGCAGAATGCAGTTAGTGTAATTAGGTAGGATGTAACAGTTTAATATTTCATCATAATTACTAATTATTTCTCATAAAAGGAGAAGTATGCTGTACATTTAACATAAGTACAAACTGTTTGAAAACTTTGTTGATTAAATATAGGCCTACACTAGTATAACAAGATATATAAGTATGTTTTATAAACCAGACTGGCTAAAAAATATCAATTCTGAATAAAAATACTCATGTTGCATACATTTCTCAAGTATTTCTGTGGCATAGGTACTTAACAGTAAGCTATTGTATTTGTAAATTATGACCACATGCTGAGTTTAATGATGCATACATATTGATTGATTGATTGATAGAAATAATTTCAATGAATTGTTATAATGCACATTAATGAATTACTTCCTCCTTGTTCTAAGATTAAAGTAACTGAAACTCTCTCTGTTTTTAAAAGATCTTCCTTTGCGACTATGTAGAATGATTGTGTCTGCTTGATGTTTATATTTGTATTGTATTTGGTATTAACATAAAGTGCTCTGAAGTTTTATTAGCCATTGTTGTACCTAAAAAAGTTACAATACCAACACACAAATAGATCCACCAGTCACCCCATAAATTTTGTTTTTAATGGCTAATACAATGTAGTCCTGATACAATGACAAGTACTTTATTCAGTTTCTTTTATCCCACGGTCACCCTTTGAAACTACTGTAGTTGCAAGCTTTGACCTTTTACCTATGACTGTATACATTATAAAATGCCTTTCAAATATTGTATCTCATTTGTAACGCACACCTTATAGTGACCTTCTGTGTGTGATTGTCCTTTAAAACGAACGTATGTATTTCAATGCTCTGAATTTTAGTGTCAATCAAACTTAACAGCTGGTGTTGGCGTAAGTTTACGCTGTCGTATTATGGGCGGGACTTACCGGAAAGCTCATGAGTTTATTATAATTGCTGGCGTTAATTCATTTTTCACATTAAAAAATGTTTTATTTAATGTCATTGCGTATTGAGCTACGTAATAATACAAGTTATACAGTAATTAACTGTACATATGTGTAAATATTTATAAAATGCATGGTGTTTGTGTACAATTATACAGTTGTGCTTGCCTAAGTCAAATCCAAAATTGCATTGAAAAGCTATTCAACTTGGATAAAATTTGACTTACAGATTGTTAATTATGGAAAGCACAACAATTTAGCATGTTAAATAAGATCGAATTAGAAATTATTCAAGTTAAGATAAACTGTACTGTAGTTATCACATGCATCCTACAGTTTTTATGGTATGAAGATATTGCACAGTACATCCACTCCATGCTGGTAGTAATGTACACAAGTGTAAAATGCCTTACAAGCCCCTACACAGCATTCTTAAAGGGGGGTGGGGGGTAGTTTCTTATTTTCACAAAAGGGCACTTTGGGTCCACCTCCACATCTGCCCCACCATGGTTGGGTTAAATGTAAAGATATAACACCTCAGATGTCCAGAAATGGCAATAAAAATTTCCAAATTTCAAATATTTGGAGTTAATATCAAACACTTTCATCATGCAAATGGTACTTTTTAGTAATGATATAAAAGGGCATTTCAGGAAAAGAGGTGTTCTTTTAAACCCCTCGAATCCCCTGGCTACGGGCTTGCCTTATACTCTATTATATATGCAAAGAGCTACATAGATAGTTAACAGTTGAATTATTTTTATAGGGAATTGATTCAGTGACCTAAAGTTTCAATTTCAGTCAAGTTCATATCTTTACTTAAATTGGACCATACAGTAAGCTGGTGTGTTCTGAAATACTTTATTAGGGTGGGTGGGTGTTGAAAAATATAGGGAATAAAAATACTTCTAGATTCGGGCTCGGATACAAAAGGTGTTTTGAGAGATAGAGATAAAAAAAATAGATTAGACTAAAAATATTGAATTTTGGACTATATTAGTATTCTTAGTTATAAAATAGAAATATTCCTTAATAGAAACACTATATAATAAATTGTCAATGGTTTTATACATTTGTGGAATGCAGCTTTCATATTTCAGCAAGATGAGCGAAATCCAATTTGACGGGGGTGGGAATAAAAACAAGTTCACCTCCTTTCATAGGGGGACAAATTTATAAAGCTTTTTTCAGCCGTCTTCGCCAAATTATTCCAGACCACTCCCATGAAATGTCATGTGTATGTTCATGTTGCACGGTTACTGGTATTGTACATTGTGTTAAATTAAATATGTTCAGCGTTAAAATTTAAAGGCAATACTGTAAATGAGCCAGTTGTTTCATTCAGTGTTTAATGTATGTAAGCCAGCTGCGAAGTATTTTAAAAGAAATTAACTAGTGGGCTTTATATAGCAAGAATAGTTTGATAAGTATTTCTTATTGTATTTCATATTGCAACATTCTATTAAAGTTATTATCAATTAATTAGATGTCTACCAGTATGTTTGTTATAATGTCTCCTATTTGTTGATGCTTTAAGTTGTTATGTGTTATATACAGTACTGTTAACAGTGTATTATTATTTTCTTCATTAAAAAAAAAATATTTGTTTACATTCAAGATCAGACCCCAACCTCTACTACATTTTTATTTGTAGTATTAGTATCATATGAGTGGCGTAACAAAGAGGACCGAGAGGCCCTGGTTAGGGCTTTTTCGAGCCCTACCCTGGGGATCGCCACCCGCTCCGACGTTTTTGATGTTTTATGGCGTATTTTTATTTTTTATTGCACACGAGTGTTCCTTAAGAAAGCCCCGCTTGGCTGATGTATGGGGTGAAGACAGTTATTTTGTTCTCCAGTGGCCATTTGAATATTCGACCTTTGTCCATCGGTATCAATTTCGTTACCCCAACAAGGCTAGTTTACTCTAGATTTACCCAGGATAGGCCTGTATTAAACTGTATCATGAGTACATGGTAGAATAATCATGAGAGTACCGAGTTTATTTACAATCTTAATCCTAACAAACGAAACATGTTAGTAAGATTGTGTGAATTCTGTATTGTATTTTGCCTCGTATGTCATATTGACTACCAAGTGCCGTGAACGGCTATAACTATGCAATATTTTATTAAGGTATTTCCTTATTTATTTCGAGAAACCACTACAAAACTGAAACCAAAAATCAAATCTATCGGGTTACAATGGAATGTCAAACCAGAAAAATATATGATACGTGTTTGCATGCAAAATATCGTACATTTATTCATTAACTCGCAAAATCGACATCATTTTTGGTGCAGTCTTTAAATACGTCCACTTTTTAGAAAGTAGGCTTACGTCAGTTGCAGTAAACAAAAATGTTTAGGTTCTGATACTTTTACTAAAATTTCTTCAATGCTTCAAAGTTTACTTAGTATACGACGCTCGTTGTTACCTATTTTAAAAAATCGCACAGATTACTAATACCCGTCAGGGTATTATGTCTCACGTCTATTTCGGGTTGTCCCCAATGGATGCTGTCTATAAATCAAAATAATATAAAGGTCCGATTCAAAAGCCTTTTAAAATACATTGAAGAATAAATACTTTAAATTTATGTCAGTACACTGGCAATAAATACGCATTCTTTAATTTGAAGTCCCCATTTCAATTCACCGTCCTTATATAAAGCTAAAAATCGATGAAGGGCTATTTGACGGGGATAATGATTCCGAGTGCCGGTATGGACTTCTATTGTCTACAATTGTCCCAGAACACTCCTCTGAACTTGTTTTCAATGCGATCGCCAGTGAACAATTGGTAACGGTAACCATGGATTGTTGGTCGTAGGTGCTATATAAAATACTTCACTGTGTAATGTTAATGGACGATACCGTAATATTAGCTACATCACGAGATAAATGTTTAGCCAAATTAGATCATTTTTTACAGATTTGTGCTAACTCGGGGATATTTATAAATTTTAAGACAACAAAACCTATGGTTATTAAAACGGTGTTAATCACGACAGAGCTACTCAGATTTATTGTAAGATGATTGGATTCGGCTATAGGCTCACTGTGATATACGCGTAGTAACGTATTTAAATGTATTGCTTTTGTGCGTAAAAATAGTGATTACCCTTTTGCTATTAAGAGAAAAGTCCTTGATGCAGCATTGATATACTTATAGTTGTGAATCTTGGATGTCAAATTCCTTGCAGCCGATACGGGTGTATATGTCTGCGCTAAAGGCCGGGCGCTCCTGGGAGTGAGATCGTCCACGGCAAACGATATTTGTCTCTTAGAACTTGGATACCCTACATTGCCGGGGTAGTATTAAAGCAAGTCCAATTTATTTTTTTTTTCAATAAGATTCTCGCTAATGGACAGAACATAATTAATGACCCTTTTATGTTAACGTGGTCGTTGTGTCATACAGCTCAGACTGATCCTTTTTATCGATATGTAACTAATAATATCCTTAAGAATTCTGATCATCTGATGAAATCTGGCCAAGGTTAAAGATTGTGTGAGAAAACCTACTAGTACAAAACTTAGTAATTATTGTACTTGGATCATACTGACGTCCCAGAGCATGAAAGATTAGCATTCTCACGTTTGCGAGTTATATCTCATAGTCTCACTATTGAAACAGGTCGGTCCTGCACCCGGCCTTCGGAAGAGCGGTTATGTAGGTGTGGAAAAGTACAAACGCGCATGTTTTATGTAAATGCGCCTTGACCGCTCACATACGCCAGAAAATGGGAATAATGTGTAATAATAGTTCTTTCTAATTCTTTATTAGCATTAGAGCCTAAGTTATTATCTAAATTTACTTATGAAATCTTAAAAGCCTGTATATCTCGAAAAGAAGCCTATGATATCTTGAAAAGAAGCCCATGTGCTTCTTTTAGAGGCTAATTTTGCAAACTAAAAAGGGGTGCTTCCATTCGAGATGGGCTTCATCTGGAGATTAAGCCCACTGGGCAATTCGAGGTTTTACGGTATTTGTTTCTATTGGTTTTACGTTGCTACGCAGCAACCTCGATTTGAATGTTATTCCACTATGATTTTCCAGCTGCGACCTGTAAGCTTTTCTAGCTTAACCACAGCTCCACTACGTACGATCATTTTAGTCAATTGTATAAAAGTGACTGGGGGTTCAAACTGCACGTATATTTTATATGTCTCTGAGGTCCAATGGATAGGAAGTTCTCGGCTTGACAGCGAGAGGTTGTAGATTCGTTGAATCCCACCAGAGAAACTTTTTTACATACAACTGAAGATTATTATTGATACGATTATTACAACCTATTTGAGCACTGTTATTATTATTTATTTGAATATATATATATATATATATTGTGTAATATAAATAAAGAGGTCGTGAAGAAAAATGCAGGACGACGTGAATAAAAAACCTGTAGACATTGATAGTTGACTCAAAATTAACATTAATCTTTATTTGATCCATATATTACTTTCAACACATGCACTGTATTACTGTATGTGTTATTATAATTTAAATACATCTGTATATATATATATATATATATTCGTATGTATATACCCCTACAGACATTGTCAGGTAATGTCAGAGTATATGTATATATAGCATTATGTAATCCACGTGTGATATATACATTAATGAATAAGACGATGAGATAAATTCATAGATTAAAACGACTTAGAATGGAAACATAAAATTTATTCAAAACATGTAATAAAATTATGTTTTTATAATTTAAATCATTCATAAAATTAAATCATGAATGGCTTGGTAGACTGAAAATTTATTCAAAACATCTAACAAAGAGTTCGGAAGACTTAAACCCCGACCTTTCCACTGGAAGTTTAAAGCTTTACCACTGTGTAAAATACTCTGAATGAATTTGAAATCATTATGCTTCAATTACAGTAATAGGTTATATTAAGCAATTAGTAGAGCTCCGCATAGTACACTATAGGAAAATTATCATACGAAGGTTAGATTTAATGCTTGAAAAAATTTCCTGAGGGCCTGCAAGGACCGACGGAAATTTTTGAATGCATTAAATCTAACCTAAGTATAATAATTTTCCACTACCGTACGATGCATGCTCTACTAATTGCTTTATAAGTCAATCGCAGTCTTTTAATGTTAGTTTTTCTAACCAACTGTGTTGTACCAGTCATTGGTTGCTATAGTGATATGATCAGTATACTGTGTGCATATTTATATTTTGTGCGTATGCTGACTTGTGCTCCTGCAGTAGGCCTACGCGTTAACTACACATCAGTACTGTACAGATACAATAAATAACTAGGCTATTTTGTAATTTGTATTGTGTTAGAAGAACTTGTTTGTAATTTTTCACATTTGTCAAAGAAATAAACATTTTTCAAAGCATTTGAGAGAGAATACAGTCACTGTCACTAACTTTTTGGTCGGTGCAGACAGGTAAAAATCTTGGGATGATTTCATAACTACTGTGGGGGATAGGCAAATAACATTGGGAGTTGATGGCGTCACAATTGACTTATAAGATTGATTAGCAGTCATCGGGGCTATGTGTCTCTATCTAAAGGGTTTTGTGTTTGGTCCAAGACACTTGTTGTCTCAGTGATTGATGTTCCTGTAACATCCTCTTTCTGGTGTCTGGTCACATTGACAATGATGTCAGCTTGGATCTCAGCATTGCAATACTTAGTGACATCTCTTCTCTCTTCGTTCCTTGCTGTTGATCTCTCAACATTCTGAAAAGTCTCGGAGGTATTTTTTTTGGAGATGTGTGTGCCATCACTTCCTGGTGGTACTGGTGGTTCCTGCATCTGCTGTAGGCTTGAAGCTGTTAAAACAATATTTGATTTAACCTGACGACCTTCTGCTGGAACAACTTTGTCAGATGATGTAGCTAAAGTATCCTGCTTCGTCTGTGTTTCATTGTTGCTCATCACAGCACTCAATCGAATTCTTTTAAGTGGATAAATATCTGCTTGCGTTTCAACATCACTAAACCCAGGAACAGGAATATTTACTTCCTTTTCAATAATCAGACCACCAGCACTTGCCAATTGAGAGCACCGTTTGTCTGGATTTTCAACAGAGCTTTGTAATGACTTGTCACTATCATTTCCATCTTTATTAACGCTTGCTTCATCCACAGCTAAGTTTTTCAAATGTACAAGCTCCACTGATGTATTGACATCTGATGCAGATCCACTAACTTCAGAGACATTACCTGACACTTCTCCATAATCATTATCTGGTGATTTATGTGATGTTTCAGTCTCACAAGACTTATGTTCTTCTAAACTGGAACTTCTCTCTGGTATATTGACATCACATAATTCGTGAGTCCTAGAATCCTCAATTGGCCTAACATCAAGATCGGTAAATCCATTTACAACTTGTTCTAAAGAATGTTCAGCTGTGGCACTATCTGTCAAAGCACCATTTTCCTTATTAGTCTCAGTTGCGGTCGGTAAGATGGTTTTTGAAGTATTTTCAAAATACGAAATTTTAAACGAATTTCCAAAAATGAATTCTGGAAATTCATCTGTCTGACTTCCAGAATCAGCAAAAAGTAGATCCTCAAAACTTTCGCCCATAAAACTCTTCTGAATAGAAGCTGGTGTCCAACTGTCCGCTGAAAATCCTCCAGAACATTCAGCTGAAGACACTTCTGGTAAGGCTGTAGCTGTTAACTCTTTCTGAGATGTCCCTTCCATGAAAGTTTGGGTAGCAATACTTTCCAGAAAAACATCTCCAAAATCAGAGAATGTATCCATGAGATGATCAATGCTGGAAAAATCATTGTGATCATTATTCTCGTGTATGTTGTTTTCTGCCTGTATTCCAATTGTGTTTGTTTCAGTACAATTCGAAAGTCCAGAAAAAAGCTGACTCTCTTCAACTGTCGAGGCTACATTCTGATGAGGTTCTGCAGAACAAGACCTCAAATCTAAAGATGACAAGTAGTCATGTTCATCATTTGAATCATTCTTTTCTTCTTCTTGCAATGATGTCAAATTTTCATCTCTCTGATCATATTCCCTAAATGCCAAATTCTTAGAATGTTTCTGACTTAAAGCAGATTGGGTATCAATAGATGGTCCTGTGTTTGGTGATGAAAGTTGTTGTAAGGAGCTCTCCCTGCTAATTTTTGGAGGATTACCATGTCTTCCACCATGGAAAGATCTCTGGTCAGCTAATATGTTATTGGTCGAAGAAACGTAATTTAAATCTTGTGGAGCAGTGGTCTGGTTCATTGGATTATGAGTCTGTGTTTGCGAAGAAGCTCTTGAACTTGGAACAACTTTCACAGGATGTCTCCTAGGCGCAGTTTGACTAACAGTTAATTTTCCTCCAAAATGTCTAAATGAAGATGTATGAAGTTGATGTTGGTTGTGAACAGAGTGACTTGCAGTGCTTATGATTACTGGGGGTTGCTGATTGGCATCTTGCCTTTGAAGCATTTCAGTCATTGCTTGTAGCAGAAGATAGCTTGAGGTCTGAGTTTCCATGTTCTGTCCACTGCCACTACATGGACTTGATGTCAGATCATCTACATGAATCAGTGGCATAGTCTGGACTAATGCATTACTCATCGTATTACTGATGTTCATCACCTGCATCTGGGAGTTAGACTGCGTACAACTCATATCTCTGTTTGAAGTCTGCTGCATGTTCGTTTGAGTGTGAGCATCCGTTTCCGGAACTCCAGGAAAGTTTGTGCCAACTGTCAACATCTCTGGTAGAACTTGCACCTGTTGGTCAGCAACATTTTCATTTATATGTGTGTTTGTAGAATTATCCTGCCTCCAGTCAACAGTCTGAGTGTCTATTGCACTCCACTGTGCTTGGGTATTACTCAATTCAGGCCTCGATTCTGAGGGTTTCTTACAAAGAACATCTTTAATATTCAGTTTGACAGATGTTGTGAAACTTGGTCTTTGAGAAATTTGGACAGGTCTTATCTCTTTGATATCTGTAATAACACCATTATTTACTGTCACTAAAGTGGTGTTTTCTGGATGAAGCAAAGCTGCCTTAGATACAGTCATGATTGTTGGTTTTGGAAGGATGAAATTTGGTTTACGCGGTAAGCCATTGGGTTGGTCTGGAGCACTTTTTGGTGGGACCTTCATCAATACTTGTTGGTTAGGCTTCTGTTTCTTTGGCAACGGCAAACTATAAACCCACCAAAAATAAAAGAGTATGGATGTTATAATAATACGGATCATATGGATTGTAGTAATAACCAAAAAAAAGGAGAAAATAATAAAAGAATAATATTTAAACATAACATGCAAAAAATAGAAAAGAAAACATGAAATACCTCCAAAAATAACAAAAATAAATAACATTAGTTAAATTAAATTAACACAAAATGAATTCTCTAACAAAAGTGGCATTATTGACCCAAAATGTATTTGGTTTATAATTAAACTTCAAGGGTGCTTAAATAGGGTAGCACCAACACATGGTAGATCAGACCACTTCAGCATATTGGAGTTATGTTCTCCTTAACTCCGCAGTTTAGTAATTCATTACTCATAAGCAGGAAAAACATTTCTCAATCTAGTAAAATGAGCAGACATAGGTTGGTCCTTTAAGACTTACCGTTGATATTGCACAGGTAAAGTATGCCCCTGCCTTTTAGCGTGCATCAGTAGAGACTCTCTTGACGTAAAGGGACACTGACAGGTGCAGTGGAATATCTGACCACATGTTGTCTCATGTCTCTTTTTGATGTTGGCTGTCCCAAAGCCACGACCACATTTTGAGCAGATAAATGTTTTTTCTCCATGACAAATGAAGTAATGCTAAAAATAGGATTAGAATTGTTAGTAAAGACAAGCAATGATGAGGTTAGGCCTAAAAAAAATACTCATCAGATGGAATAAAAATAACCCACATAGGCCTAGAAAGGCAATATCTCACATCAGACAACAAATTAGGAATAATTTGTAGGGCATCAAAAATAAAGATAAATTCACACACATTTTTTTAAGTTGTAAAGGAAAAAAAGCTAAAAACAAAACTTTTTTTTTAGTTTTTTTGTTTTTTCGCCCCTATTTTTTTCAGTGAGTTAGGGGTGGGTGGAGGGGGGGGGGGGAAATGTTTTTTGACCTTATTTCAATGTGAGTAATGAAGTAATGAGGCTGTCAAGAGACTATCAATTTGTATATTCCCTGCACTGAAATATACAGTAGGCATATGCAACCAACTTATAAAAAGATCTCTTCTCCCACACGACCCAATATACGCACTTCCAAAATCTCTATAATGTTGATCAATCCATAGCATGCTATTGCCAACATTTACAGCGATACAAATATATGGTAGGAATTTTAATTTTGTAGACTACAAGTAATTCAGTTTAATCTCTTCAGCCCATCTGTCCATATAATTATACTGTGTATCACAGAATTAATTTGGTACTTATGATAAGTGTGCTTACCTGACGTAAAGAATGTCTTCGATGAAATGGCTTTTGCACGCTTTGTGCTCTATTGCAATCCTTCACTGGGCAGTAATATAATTTTCGTTTGCCTTTTTGCTTTCCTCCATGTCCATACAATACACCCTCTGACTGGTCCTAACAAAAAAAAATTATATGAAAGTGTAGTTTTGCAGTTTCTGGAATTTGTAAAATTGAAGAAACCCAGGCAGGGACTTTCACAGACCACCTCAGCCTACCATGGTTTGGGCTGAGGTAAGAAAAACTATGATTTTGGCACATATGGGTAGATGGAAATGTCACTTGCAGACTTAAATTTGAATATAATATTCTTTATTTACTCCATATTTTTATAATTTTGAAAAATTAAGGGGGAGGGGGGGAACAGGCTGGCTTCCACCCTCATGAATCTGCCACTGGTAATGTGCCGGAGTTTATCAATTACACTATTAAGATCAAGATCAATATAACAATAGTTAACACATGTCTAAATTAAAAACATAGAAAACATGATGTGGGCTTCAGAATTAAAATCAAAAGTGTTTCACATTATTAAAACAGAAGGGTGGCAGAAACAGATGGGGATGCATGAAGGTTGCCCCACCCCAGAGCCGACAGGTAAGATTGCAAGTGTTATTACTATAGTACACTCCCAATTATGGCACCCTTAAAGATCCTTGCATATGGATTTAGCCATCATCAAAACATGGCAAGCACCAAAAACCAAAATGCTACAATGCCCTTCCAAGTATATTTTTGTCATATTCAGGATTTGAACCAAGAGACCTGGGATTGAATGGCCAGTGTCCCATCACAGTTTTAAATGTGTTCGTCTCACCTGAATCAAGCCATGGGTCTTGACAACATGCATACGCTGAGAAGAGCGAGTCTGAAAGACCATATCACATCCTTCTGCTGGACAGGGTACATTTGTTTCTGGCTGACGAGAAAGTTCTTCCACAGATGGAATAATTACCTCAACAGTATCCATAATTCCATTAGCATTGTACTATTTATCATGATTAATCCTGTTAAATATAAGTGTCATAATTTGTTAGAACTTAAGTACAGTAATTTGCATTGCAACATAATTTTGAGCAATTTTGTTTCCAGATAAAAATAATACGTTAATATGAACAATGAACAGCAATGTTAATATGAACAAATATTATTTTTTCTGTACATTAACAATAAAAAAATCATAGACACTAGATTAAATGATGATGACTGTTTGAGTGATGATGATGATGATGATTAAGAAAATGGTTAGCAATGGTGCTAACGCTTGATTGTTGCTCTGCCAGGGAGAGCTTCCCCCTCCCCCTGCCGAAAAAAAAAATTACATGTACTGTATTTTCTACATATAATTAAATAAGCCTTTTTTAAGGGGCTTCGGTCCCTGGACCACTTTCGATATTTTTTTTAAAACTCCTGATTACGCCTTCGTAACATTTCAATTTATTGTGCTGCACATTGGGATACACATTGGCAATGACTGCCGTGAGACAAATGATAATAAAGCTGTGAAAAAGTGCACATATTATGAATTTGCAGGATATGGGTTAATTTCCAGATTTCCGCGAGTTCCGGGAGACTTGGGACCCATGTTAGCATTCTTAATGATGTTAGTAATGCAATCTATTTTTTAAAGGTTTTCCTCAAATTCCTGTAGTGTTACGTTGGGACCCCATTGGAAATAAGTGGTTTTCTCCACTTTATGGGTTATCCCATGTTCCACTTTCTTTCAATTTTTTATCTCTTTTTAACTTTTACATGGTGCTGTTTGAATTGTTGTTTTGTGGTTGCTTTTTAATTATTTTATATATTGTATTTTTATGTATTTTAAGGTGGAACAAAATAAATTCAAATTCAAAACTGTGAAAATCTGACAAACTATATACGTTGTATATAATCACATCTCCTGGTCTGATCACTGCTTGATAAGAAACGAGTCTCATTACTGCAGCCACGGGTGAGTGGGTGGATGTATAGATGAAGCCTAGGCTAGACTTAGGTCTAGCTCAAACAATGACACTTTGACCATCTCTGACTTGACGAAGCCCACGGGCCCACGGATGAGTAGACTACGTACAATAAAAAGGTAGGCCTAGGCTAGGCCAGGCCTACGATATCTTCTCGCTAGACTGCCTAACATACCCTATAGACCTATCTGATCTTAACTCATAAATTTATTTCCTGACATTATAAATTATACACGAAATGCTTTTGCATGGGTTATTAGAAGACTATAAATTAGAAGACAGTTTACACCTACCACCTCCATCTTTAACCACAAAATACTCTGTGTACTTTTGATTGCTTATAGAGGGCGGCAGAGTAATATTTTCATATTTCGACGAGAGCGAGAGAAATGATCCCCCATGCATGCACACTCACATACAGAGGAGCTTCAGAATTCTTCGTTAAAATATAATTCTCTTCACAATCCTTCAACGTTAACAAGTATATAATGGATGTCGGAGAATTGTTAAGTTTTAATGTAGGCGTGATTCTGTTTATTAATCAAATGATTATCCTTTAATTCAGTAGGCTTCCCTAGCTAGGCCTAGGCTAGGCCTGTCACCTGTGGGGTTATCGTTGTTTGTTTAGTCGGCAGCTCTAGCAGAAGGGCTTAGAGACCTAGCTAGCTATGTAGATCATAACCACCAAGTAGGCCATAGGCCTAGGCCTAATAACCGTAGGCCTCGCTTTTTCAGGCTTGTGCCTAAATAAATAGAAAGGGTAGAGGATAGTAACTAGGCCTAGGCTAGGTTAGCATAGATAGTATCCAGCTAGTTAGTTATTAATTAATATATATACTTACCTTTTTAATTAATTAAAGCAATATTTTTTATATATATTTTTAATTATTATGTTCGTTTTACTTGGTCATCAGCCTGATAAGCCAGACTTAAAGAGGAAATCAGCCAATGATGAAGTGTATGCAGACACATCACAAGTAAAAAAGCGTTCAAATGAAATGACAAGCGGTGAACTCACTGAAGAAGAAAGAGAAAAGATTCTGCGTATGGTGGAACAAGAGCCAGATGTAAAGAAAAACAAATGCACTTTTTATTTAATTTTTTTTAATATAACTATTTAAGAAGTTATATATTGATCTGATGCTCATTTGCATATGCATTCCTTTTTTTTATTAAGACCCTTGCAAATGATTAACTTACATTCTTGGTTTATATGTAATTAACTTTGCTTTGAACATTGGCATTTTCATTGCTAGGGCCCTGCAATGGATGAGGCAGATCTAAGGCAACTTATTCTGCGATTTGAAAAGAAAGTTTATAAAAACCAAGAAATGAGAATCAAGTTTCCAGACCAACCAGAAAAGTAAGACCATGTGATTATAAATATTTAGTGGATGACTCAATTTTCAATTATAAAAATAATTAGGAAAAGAAAACAATAATTTTTTCATATGACCTGAAAAAAACCTATGTTGGTATATATAAAAATTAAAATTAGCTTGAGAATATGTGCAGAGTAATATGACCACCAAGGCAATAACCTACAGGCTATTATGTTTGTACTGTATACATGAGCTGCAGTGACAGGATGAAATGAAATTTTACATATACAATGTCTCCCTCCAATTAAAGACCAATTTGGGGACTGGGGTTTCCATGCAGCAGCTTTGGTCTCTAATTAGAATAATAAAAAACATTTGTTGATTTTAGACCACAGAAAAGTGGTCTTTAATTGGAGGTGGTATTTAATTGGAATAGTCTTTAATTGGAGGGAGACCTGTATTTAGAATTGATAATATAAAAAAAACCCCAAAAGGACTGGTATATAAACTTCACTATCATATCTCCATGCTTTATTTTAGTTTAATACACTATTAATATTACTATAATATTTTTTACAGGTTCATGGCATCAGAGATAGATTTGAATGATGCGATTCAGGAGATGCACGTAATTGCCACAAACCCGAACCTGTACCACTATCTGGTGACTTTGAACGCAGCAAAATCTCTACTTGGACTTATTTCACATGGCAACACAGACATATCCATTGCTATGATCGACCTCCTGCAGGAACTTACAGACGTTGATGCTCTGAATGAAAGCGAAGAAGGAGCAGAGGCCCTGATTGATGCATTGGTGTGTATATTATTAAACATTGCATTTAATATTGCAAGCTGTACCCTACCCTGATGTGACTTTACCTGTCTTCTGCACTCTCTTGTTCTATGCCTTGCCATGCTAAATGTAGGCTCGTTTTGCACTGTGCTTAAAGTGTACCATACCAAGTGTCATATCCCCTGTCAGTGACATATCTAGGAGTTTTGAAATGGCGGAGCTGATGGGGGTGCGAAGGTCAAATGGAGTTGGACAATGATTAGGAGAGGGGCAATAGCTCGCAAAATAAGGAGATTTTAGGTGATTTTTAACTACTTGAGTGAGATTTTTTTGGGGGGGGGGGCGCTTGGGTTGGCGAGTATATTTCTGGGGATGGGGCCGTGCGCCTCCTAATTAAATATTCATCATCATCTATGCAAAATGACCTCTTTATAGAATCCTATTGAACAATAAGGTTATTAGTATTGTTGCTGTTGTTGTGTTGCTCCTTTTGTTTTTTCTAAGGTTTTTTTTTTTATTGAAAACATTAACAACATATTTATTATCATCTCCAGCTTGAAGACCAAATAGTTGCAACATTAGTTCAGAATTTGGATCGACTTGATGACTCTGTGAAGGAGGAGTCGGAGGCAATCCATACATGTAAGTGGCAAAATATCGCTGTTGATTGGGGTCCTTGTGGGTGTAGTTTGGGCTGTACATTGGGCAACTACAACAACAACTACTCTTTTCTGAAGAGTCTGCATTCATATGAAAGACGGTGCGCTAAATACTCAACTACTCATACCAAAAATCCCCTAATTAGCCGTTTTGGGTACTTTGTGGATCTTTTCTGAAAATTTGGGGGAAATTTGACAATATTCAGGAGCCCATTAGACTGCATGAAAATTCAAGAGACTCAAGAAAAACAAGAATAGCAGATGGAATTCATCGAGGGACCAAGGTTTTGTAAAGATCTCCACTGTTCAGCGCACACACAGTTTAGCCATCTAAGCTGATGTTCTCTCTAATTATTCATATAAACTACTGTTTAGAAACGGCTGCAGAGTGGCGACATAATAGACGATGACCAGGAGGACGAGTACTATCTACGGCGTTTAGATGCGGGTCTTTTTACACTACAACTTATTGATTATATAATGCTGGAATTGTCGTGTTCGTCCGGTGTGTCGACCATTAAGCAGCGGATTCTACAGCTACTCAACATGCACCGAGGTTCAATCACCGCGGTTAGGAATGTCGTTAGAGGTTCGTACAATTTTCTAATTTTTAGAAAGTAAATTGAATTCTATGTAGTGATATTAACAATTTATAATGTATATTAATTTCCTATGTATTTGTTGCTGTGTCGTTGATTCTCATGTGCCCCATTGTTTTGAATACAACAGCTCAATGATCTACTAATCTATTCAATTCTAAATTTAACTTGATGAATTAAATATCATATAACATATTTATTTCACCAACATTCAACATCATAAAAAGAGTTACAGTAAAAACATCAGGAAACACATTACACAAAAGACTGTTCCGTGGCAGGATTGCCCTAAAGTAATTGGAACCTTCTAACTGTTGAGGTGCTTTCCTTGTAACGCTTTGATATAGCAAATATTTTTCTTGTATTGTACATTGTTAACTTGTGTGAATTAATGCTGTGAACTTCCTCCTAGGTAATTAGGTTCAATATTGGTTTTCCCCTGGGCTAGATTTGGCCCATTTCTTGCTGTGGTTTGTCGAATGCTTTTCAGAAATTAGTATAAGAACATATGGTTTGTCATATTGCTTTTCAGAAATAAGTATATGAACATAATAATAAATTATATTATTTTACTTATTATTGGAAGATTAGATAATTTGTATATTAAAAAAATGTTTAATAATAACCCATTTAACATGTTGAAGATTTACAGTTTTTTATTACTAGTAATATCTTTTCTTGATCACTTAATTTGTGTGTATTTTTGGCTCCCTTCTTTACAAAACATAAATTTGCCTACATATTTTTTCCTAAAATTATCAAGACTTTTTGGTACTTGGGCAACACCATTTTTCTTTTTTTGGCTTTTTCATTACTCGTGGTATAACACTTATTCTCTGTGTTTTTCCCTTTATCTTGCAGAGTATGCTGGTAATATTGGTGATGCTAAAAGCAAAGAACATGGAGATGCTGAAAGACAGAGGCTATTGGAACTTGTGAACAGGTTCTAAGGTGACTTTTCTGTGTAGTTGTCCAGTACCACATACTTGTGAAAACCAGCAGAAGAAACTGTATTACAAAAGTTTATAAGGACATCATTGAGGTGACAACTCCATGGATCATGTTGTACTTAACCGCAAAACAATGAGAAAATCTGATCTGCATGTGGCTCAGTACTTCATAGCACTGTATCTGGATGGAATTCCATGGTGATATACTTCAATTTGGAGGTGTAGTTTGGAAAATAGAAGCAGTGCCGTTCAGTCTATTATCACTTGAACTTAACATGTTTTTAACTTCCTATCTCATTTGGGAGAGCTACCGATTGGTAACTTTAAGTTCAAATTTTTAAAGTGACAAAAAACAATGTGTCTTTACTTTTATTTAATTTTGATAAAGATAACTTATTCAAGTGTTTTTTTTTTTCTGAATGTAGAAATGAAATTAGTATGGAAATGGACCTTTCTGCTAAGCCACGCCCCTTGGATATTGTTGCTAAGGGCCCACAAGAGAGTTAGCGCAGTTGTACGTAAACATGTGGGACAATTTCATTTTTTTTTCATTTCTTTAGGCACGAGCGCCAAGGATATGCCAATAAGTGAACTTAATCATTGTCCTACGTGGCATATCCATTTAACAATAGGACACTTAATGGACCTGTACACCGGGGTGACCCCCTACTCTTCTTGAAGGATGTGCTGGTTCTTTAAAGTGAACACGAGCCAAGGGCGTACACTGGGCCTACGGTTTAAAGTCCTTATCTGAGAAGACTTGTTCCACTACCGGAACCATTGGCGAGTGAGCCGTTCAAACCAGCCCCGATATTAGAGCTGAAAGTTACGGTGCCCCTGACTTAAATTGAATTAAACATTTTGTGGATGTTGTAAAAAGTAGTTTTCTACTCAAATAATATTTAAATAATATCAGTGACTTTGAGAATAAATTGTTTACCATAATTAGTTCAAGATTTATTAAAACAAAATACAAAGTCAAAAAATATGGTTCATATTGTGCAGCTTATGTTCATGTATTTGCTTATCTAATTTAGGCCTTCATCCAACAACAAGGATTTAAAACTGTCAAGATAAAACTCCAGGCTCATGCATTTCTAAACACAATTTGTGCTGCGTAGTTTTTAAATTATGGTTCCATCATTCAACTTGTGCCAACTCTACTTTACTCTTGTGCAATATTTCAATGCGCTGTTTAGCCATTTGCATTAAACATTTTAACAATGGAAACAAAAAATTAGAACACAAAGCTGATCAACTCAATGTCAAGTCTCTTAATCTTTGTATGACTTATCCTGGGGCTCGTAGTGAAAAAACTTATTTCCTTCTAACTTCATTTTTGCTATCCGTTTAATTTGTTGTTCTATGTCATAGCCAAGTGCCGAAGCTCTGGTTCGGACTGTGTAGCGTCTTACAGGCAGTCCATCTGGTCCAACTAAAAACTTCTCAAAGTTCCACATAATATCCGATTTATTCACCGGTGACCATGTGATCTCGTGGTGTTTTTCCTGAAAAAAGTTCTCAGAATCATCACTGGTAACTGGCATACGATGTTTCAGAAATTCAAATATAGGATTCGCGTGTGCGCCGTTTACATCGCACTTGGCCATCATCTGGAATTTTGGGATGTAGTTGGAGCCAGGTCGAACATGCTGAAGACACGTCAGAATCTCGTGATTGTCCCATGGCTCTTTGTGGCCGAATTGGTTGCACGGGAAAGCCAATATAGTCAGTCCTCGACTGCCATATGTAGTAACAAGTTCGTTAAGCTGCAGAGAAAAATAATATATGGATTAATATTAGGGGGGAAAACAATGCAATGCTCATGTATATTCTAAATTTCTGATAGGAGTAAAACTTAAATCTTATCTTTTATTCCATAACAATTACTTTTAGCACCATCGTATACATTACTAAACTTTTAAGGAATTAGACTTTGTATTGTACTAGACGATGCTCTGGCACTTTAGTGCAATTTATACACAGGAACACGTGAGCCTCCTGTATGTAACTTATTAACGCCTGTTTATAATAATACTATAAGTAAAGTAAACAATATCATTGTTAACGATATCCTAATTCGATATTTTCCCTCCGACAATTTGAAGTCTGGTCCTACATAATATTCACGTCATATTGTCGCATGTGAGACTACAGTCATTGCAATCACAGAACCAATTATGTATTTAGCAAGTTCGGATATTAAAATTGATTTGGTACAAAGAATATGACGGGATTTTATGATTGCCTCTTTTAAAATGTTTATGTAAGGCCTAGTAGAACTTCAAGCTTTACCTGAGTTAGTTCTCGTACACAGTGTTTGTCTGCACTCGCAATATTTGTCACTATAACCATTTTGCCTTCGAACTTTGCAAACGGCATGATTTGGCCACCAATCATCATACCAGATAGGTCATACAGAGACCGTATGACATGAACGGGAACAAGCTTCTCGGGCTTGTGCGATGAGTTGTCCTCTCCTTTTCGGGTGATCGCTGGTAGAACCGAGTCATGATTTAACTTTTTCTGTGATGGTCTCTTCGATATTATTGTGGCAACTTTCGCTTTTTGCCAAGTCCGTTTTCTTTCCGACGCCATTGTATTCCAAATAATGAATGCACTTTATATTACCACAATCAAGGATGTAATGGGGATATTAAGACATTATTTCACAAATATTTCACACAATGATGCCCTTAAATGTATTATCCGCTGCTAAAGCAATAGTCACAAAATAATAATTATGTACAGTAATTCCAAATAAATACAAACTTTCCGATAATCGCGTCCAAAAAGCAAACACAGAACAGGACCTACAATTAATGTCAAGCCTGGTCAAACAAAAGAGAGTCTTTCTTTATGAAATCGGATGACCAGTTAAAATACACTTATAGGCATATCTCGGGAGAGTTCAATTTGATAACAACAGTGGTCAGTCACTTTCATTAAGTCCAACGTCACTGATAGGGACTAAGCCAATCTCTTATGATTGACGTAGCATAATCGTTGAAAGACTAGATCAATGAATACATTTTGATTACATTAGATTTCGACGGTAGATCGTATAGCTCGATGTAGATTGATTAAAAGTCGTTTAAATTAAATCCATCGGAAAAAGTTGACACCGAAAATTGGCAGGAAATGGGCGTACTTCATAAAAGCTGATGCTTTACGACAACTAGTTTTTTATCGTGCAATCTCGGCACTCATCAACACAATCAGATTTGTAGTTTTCGCTATAATACGAATGAACGAAGGCTTGATCGCCCCTTTCCACTTTCTTTATATTCAGAAGATGCTCCACATAATAACTCGAGTCTACATACTTC